CCCTCCCTCCCTCCCTCCCTCCCTCCCTCCCTCCCTCCTCCCTCCCTCCCTCCCTCCCTCCTCTCCTCCCTCCTCCTCCCTCCCTCCCTCCCTCGCTCCCTCTCCCTCGTGGCTTTCTTGGGGGTTGTGTGAGTGGATAGCGTTGTAAGCGTAAAGAATTTGGATCCTCGTGCGATGATATCTAGAAGCATCAAAACAATCCTGTTCTGCACGATATTTGGCTGCTGCTGCATCCCATGCAAGGGGGAAATAGATTCCGGCAAGAGTCTGTTCGAGTGGTTGGAGGAGGAAGGAGGAAGCGTGCTTGACGGAGTAAGTGTCGGAGGAACACCGAGGGGATTGATAGCAGAGAAAGAATTTTCACCCGGGGATATCATCGTCACCGTTCCTCTGAAACATGCTATCAATCTTGGTACTGCTTCGTCCTCGACGGAAAGTGCGGCTATCCTGCTACGAGAAAGATACAGAAAGAGCCGGCGGAGATTTGATCCTTACCTCCAGTCCCTTCCCAAGATAGAAGAGCTGATGACGGTCGACCTCGCAGATGAAGACGACATCTGGTGGCTTCAATCCCCTGACCTCATCGAAGCAGCATGGCGATGGAGGAACGCCACGTTGGCGGGGTACAGGAGCATTGGGAGCAAGAGCTTTATGTTGGGCGGACGCCATCTCACCCTCAACGAGTATCGGTGGGCCGTATCTATCATCTCCTCGCGCTCCCTTGCCATCGTCGCGCCCAACGGGGACATGTTGAAATATCTTATCCCTGTGATGGATCTGGCGAATCACCAGGAGGAAAGCAAGCATCATGTCAGGTTGGCCGATGGCGCCCGGGCGTTCCACCTAGTATGCGGTCAGCCTATCAAGCCGAAAGAGGAGATCAGAATCAGCTATGGTCCTCTTAGAGGAGACGAGACCGTTCTCTTCTACGGGTTCCTGCTGGAGCCTCCCTCTTCGCTCCAACCCTTCGCAGGTAACGAGGCTCGGCCTCCCTCTCAGCTCAGTCTCTCCTCATCCTCAGTTGATGTCACTCTAGCAATGCTCTGACCCGATTTGCTGCGACAGTTGATATGCCAGGATGGACTCCGGATGCTCCTCCTCCTCTTCTTCGCTATCAACCTGTCTCGGTGGTGACATCTCTGGAGTCCGAAATTCAGCGAGTCCAGAGCAAGCTTTCCATGCTCAACACCAGCGTTGCTTCGCAGAGTCGAGCTCCTTTCTCGAAGTTCGCTCAGATGTACCAAGACATGCACGCTATGAGGATAGAATCTCTCAGGCACGAGCTGCAACAACTTCAAAGGAGGGGCGCAGTGAGTGATCATACATAACAAGAAACCGTAGTACTCCAATCTTATGGTGCGATATCAAATTTGAACTTTGCCAGTACTGCGCGGCCGGGCGAAATTAAACAAACGGCAGTGTGCCAGCTGCTGACCGTACCGTACCCCGTCACACTGTGATCGATTTCAGAGTCAACGCCGTGGTATAGTACCGTACGGCGTACGGTCGCCGGCCAACGCATCATCAAGTCACACAGCACACAAACGGTTGAGTCTGAGTCGGATGCAGTCCGCTGGGCCCCCGCGGGACTCCGGCCGACACCCGGGCACCGGCCGACACCCGGGCACTGGGCCGGGTCTCGGACACTATGACTGACTGAGGACTGCCAGGGCCGGTGACTTCCACTGGGGAGGACTTCCCAGGGAACTGGTGGGTGTAACTGCCGTAACTGACTGTATGTGTGAAGGGGCGTCGACCATGTCCTGTAAGTCGCGAGGAGGAGAGAATACTTATGAGAAAAGGAAGAGGAAGAGGGCGAGGGCAGAGCAGCGCAGCGGAAAGCTATGGGCAGAAGAAAGAAACGAGTTTGATGCGATCTGATGTTGAAGCAATGTACCATAGAAAGATCATGTGTTTCGAGGCACATAAGTAGAAGCTGGAGATGGAAAGCAGGAGAAGAATATCTTGTCTAGTGTGCTTTTCGTATACGTGTGTAGCTCGTGACTTTCAACTACCGCAACACGCTGAACTTACAACTTCTGTCAGACGGAGCTTGCGAGGAGGGTGCTGGAGCAGGGAAAGTTTGCAAGGAGCCCATAGACGCTAATCGCGCGTTTGCTCGCTCTTTCGCAATCGTCTTCGCTGTTGCACTGGGATGCATCGCGTTGGCTGTGCTTCTTATTCAGGCAGGAGCAGCGAAGAGCGTCTCTCTCTACGTATACTACTTCCTGTCCCGCTTGGCAAGTCCTAACGCCATGCTCAGGGAGGTTTCACTTCGAATTTGGATCTTGACAAGGGTACACTCAGCGCCCTCGAGGCAGTAGCTGGTCCTGCCTCCGGACGCCGTGGAGGAATTGCGTTCTCGGATGCTGCCCCCCGCGTTCCTCGTATCTTGGCAGCTCAGATGCAGAGGTATTATGCATGCAGGGGATGAACCATGTGTCTGATCGCTGCCTCTCACTACAGGCGATCAGCTTCGCAGCAGATGTTGGCATCTATGAACAGCAAGAGGTAGCTGATGAGATCCCTCGCCTCTCAAGCTGACCAGTTTTCAGGAGTGAGGCTGATAAAGTTGCCGATGGGATGAGGACACAGGATTACATGGATCTTACGGATGCTGCCGGGATGGAATGAAGGGTAGGAGGAAAAAACTTGTTAAACTTTTGAGTATATATTCTTAATTTTGAGAGATTTCTGTCTGCTGCGGGAACAAGTCAATTAATGTGAGTCCTGTGTAGCTGCGTCAGATCGATCCACTTCTAATTTGTCAAACATGTATCACATTAGTATGGTGCATTGAGTCGGTTCCAAGAGACTCAGGCCACATTTTCTGTTCATCACTAGTGGTTAGAGACACGTGCCTCCTGATAGTTTTGTGATCACCTTCTTGCACCACAATCGATGCGCTGAGATAGCAGCCTGATCAGAAAGAGAGTAAGTTTGTTTGTTCGATCAATTCCACAGCAGTCCATACATGTCTCTTGGATGGTTCTTTACAGAAGACGCGGACTCCATGCATAATTTGATCGCGAGGAAGAATGCTTCCATACCTTACAAAAATTCAAGGTTACTTCGACTGCCAAGACAAATCTACATCATCGTTGCGTTACCTGTTCTGGCTCACTCTTCTTGCAACCCAAAGACCTTTAACTGAAGCTTCCTTCTCGGAAGAGAAAAAGAAAACCTACCAAACACATCAGACAAAAAAACGTCAAACGCTACAAAGGCTGACCTCATCGACAGGATTTTTCGATTTCTTCCCATGGTGCACACTCCATTTCTCAACGATGAGGTCGTCGGCTGACAACTGACCCGCACTAGGAGCATTCTGATTTCCTCCCTTCACTGGAGTTCGGCTTTGAGAAAGAAACTCCTCATTCATCGGTTGCGATCCTCTATCATCTAAAGGATACTCTACATCGCTGTTTTGCTCGTCTGGCGTGTCCGGAATACAAACTAGAAAGTACTCGTCAATTAGCAGAGCGAAGAAATCGCATGGTCACCATTTTCTTCTTCCCAGAGAGATAACATCTCTTGCTTCAATGCATCTACAGAGGTTTTGATTGGATGACTATCGGTTTGAGAATCAGCTGAAACTGAATTGCCTCCATGCCTTGCATCGACGAAGTTCATCTGAAACCTCAATCAAACACATAGCAGTGAAATCAATTTAGAAACCGGTGTGTTTCCGACAAACTTGTAGAAGTCGTGGCGCTGATACCGATGGAGAAGCGCTCTCGCACATTGCATATCCTGAGCATGGGATTCAGCTGATTTGTATCAAGAAGGAGATTCGTTACCTCATCTTCACTTTGAAAATTATAAATATTCGAAAGAATGTGATCATCAAGGTTGACAAATGCTGCGGGATCATATATCGCTTCTTCTATCGGTACTCTGTTGGTAGAAATCAGCTTGTAAAGTCCATTGGAATTCTGAATTACCTCCTCACAAGACGAGCAGTATCCTTGTCGTAACACGGCACAGTGTAATGCTTGAAAGCAAGCTTCAACACATCACGGATCAGATACTCGACTGCCTTGACGTTCCTATGAGTATAGACCTGAAAATTGGAATCAGAGTCAAGACTGTTTGATTTCTGTGGTTATATTACACCTTCCAGTGCATGTTGAATCTAATTTTGAAGATTTCCATAGCTTCAGGGGCTAACTTCTCTGGCCAACATATGCCCCAACGTCCTTGTTTTGTCGGCTCACCATCCTTATCCAATTCTGGGCACCAACATACCTTTGAGCAAACGTAAATGTTGAGAACGAGACTGAAATTGAACAAGAAAGAACTCACTCGTGCAAGGTCTATGAAGCGATACGGCTGCTTATCTTCTTCTCCCAAGGAAACTTTCTTGTCTCGCATGAAATAATCCAACTTGTCGATGTCTAAGCCGCTATGTGCGTTGTTTATAATGTCATACAGAAAGTTCTTCTCTGGGCCACGACCCCGGCGAGCTTCAATTCCTCCTCCATTACGCTTTCCACCGTCAAGATCATCACCAACAATCAGCTCTTCTATGAAACGAAGATCATTGACTGGATCTAGACCGTAGTCTTCCAGACGGATATTGTTGTCTCGGAGCAGATACTTGAGCATTAAAACACTCATCTCCTCATGGGCCCAGTCCAAGCCCATATCCTGACAGATCATTGTTTCGAACATGTGGCTGAAAGGCCCATGGCCAAGGTCATGACACAATGCCGCAACTTTTACACAGAGCTTGTCTGCCTCCGTGATTTTGGCTGGAATGGAATATGTGCATGAACCATCTTCATTCCGTTTGGAAGGCAACGCAGGGTAACCCTTCTGCTCCCTCAGATTCTCCCAATACTGATTGATTGCTGAAAGCTCAATTTCAGGGGATCGATACATGATAAGACGGCAAAAAACAACCTGGAAACATGCGCCTCAACTTCTTATCCTTCCGCCGTTGTTCCTCAAGGGTCTGCATCATCCTTGTAGCAAGGTGCATTGCCCCAACACTGCCAAACGCTGCTTGTGAGACTCGAAAATACAAAAAGTGTGTGTACACGAACCTGTGCTCAAACCTTGTATGGTTAGCAGATCGGAAAACATTTTCACAAAGTCCAAGCTGCTTCAACTGCTGTAGCCTTTGGAACTGTTTCGTGTCCATGATTCTAATTATCAATGGATCCAACTCAATCTGAGAGATATTATTGGCGAAGTGAGATGAAAGATACAAAACTCTACCTGGCCGTATATTCTGTCGTGGAATGTTTTGGTACGAAGGCCAACCGAGCGGAGGATTGGCGTCAAAGGAAAGTTTTGAGTGCCTACGACCGACAAGTGCTGCTTCTTCGGAACCTCAAAGTCATAGCTTTCTTCAGTTTCATGATCAACATCTGATGATTTGCGTTTTCCTCCTTTCATTCCTTCAAAGTCATCAAACTCTCTTGGTTTGGAGGCTTTGTTAGACATGTAATAATTCAGGATAGTCTGTTGAGACATCGTTGTTGTGCTTCAGTCTGCAAGAGCTTCCCACCCAGTGAGCACGAACCAGCTGCTCAACTTGTCCTGAAAAAAACAGACACCATCAAAATAAATCAAATTCAACCAATCATTTAAAAAAAATCTGCATGATCGAGGAGTTCATCTACAATCGGATACAGTGTATGGTTGATGCTGATACTGAAACATTTTCCCCACGGTTTTCTTTTGCCTCTCCCGATCCATCTTCATCTCCTTGCATCTCATCATACGCATTCATCTGAATTGAAATCATAGTCATACAAGCATGTCCTCTTCTCCTCGCAGATATCTTCCTCCTTATCCTTGTCCTCCCTGCATGCTTCCGCAAACAAACCACATTGCGCGCCAAATCGACCACCCCTGCCTTTACCAGCATATGACCCCCAAATTTATAGGACGCAGGACCCCTTCATTGGTCGCTCTACAAAGCCACCACCAAAGTACCGTTGTGGTGGTTATTGGCTGGTTGTTCAGAACCCCTACCCACATCTTGCCACAACGAGATGTAGACTACCCCTTATTTTGTACTCCTTTAACCTTTAAATAACCGGTTATATTGGTCGATTGCAACCACCCCCACCCCTACATGGATGGATGATCACCTCAACTCGTGCCGTTAAATTTGAAAAATCTACTGATAATGTTTCAGAATACAGAAGTGAGTTTTCAAATATGCTTTCCAAATTTGAAGAGACCAATGGGGCCAAACCAGTCTTGCTGTCCTACAAAATGTCTTGGGGCGGGCTCCTACACTTTGGTTTGGTGAACATGGCGCCCTTTGCCGTCGACGCGACTGGTGTTATCAACCGTTGGGCATGCTAGCAAGGGTGTTAGACGATGAGGAGAGGAGGCAGGAAGGGACTTGTCGACTTCCTGTGCCTCTCTCTCTCGCCTTTGCAACCTGCATGACTGCAGGATCATGAAGAACAATCTGCTCTGGTGCGTCATTGCACTTGCAGTCCTCGTCACATCCCATGGGGAGGTAGAAGTGGACGCAGCATCTAGAGCTGAGGAGGTAGAGGAGATCGTAGTATCCAGAGCTGAGGAGGTAGAGGAGATCGTAGTATCTAGAGCTTTGATACTGCGGTCGATTGGCTGCTCTCTGAGCACATCTTCAGAGGAGAGCGGGGAACATCTTTCACTTCAATTCGCTCTCGAGGGCATTGGGGATGTCAGTGAGTGTGAATCCTACACGATCACAATCTACACGCGCACATTCAATGATAGCAGACCAAGGGCTGATGAGTTTGTCGTGCTCGGATCATCTTCATTGTGCTACGTCTGCAACTCATCTTCCAGTCATGGAGTTGATTGCACCGTTGCATTACAGGATCCTCCTCTAGACGCGATTTCCCTGCGCATACAAGTCTCGTCGGGAACAGACGACTTAAAACACGTGGATTTTTCTACACTCGAGAGAACTTCTCTGGAACAACCGATTCTAGTTTCCGTCTTCGATCCCTTGACGCAGGATGTACAGTCGTTGGTGTGTCAGCGTGGTGGACCAACCTCGGAACCCTCGCGATCTTCCCTCTCCCCACTGTCTGCTCGTATCATGGCGGAGGTGGCAAACGACGTCACAGAGAGCGAGCTAGTGGACTTGTGCAGGTCGCTGATAGGATCTCAGAGGAGCCATGTGGTCATCAAGGGGAACCAGTCATGTGACATCATCTATCGTGCAGCCGACGAGTGCCGGAGGTGGAGGAGGTTTGAGGTGCTGGATCGATCAAGGCTCAGGGAAGTAGCAAGAGGATGGCATCCTCGTGACTTCGACGCTCTCCCGCCGTTGCCTGCGAGCATCTTGGCGAGTAATGGAGTCTTGATCTGGAATCACTTCCATGATCTCAACTTTGACGCTATGACCCCGATCCAGCCCTCCTCCTGGGTGAGACTTGCCGATGTCATGTTGATAGAGATCTCGGAGCTGTCCCGATGCCACGCGCTCGGTATGAAGTGCGTGTCCGTTCCGATCCTGGACAGGACGGTTGGGGCATTGAAGGAGGCGGACATAGTCTATGTGCCTTGTAACATAGTCGACTTGGTCCCGGACCTTGTCCTGCCATATTTGCGCAGCCCTGTTATCTTTTTGTCCCACGTGTTCCCTTTCGAGGGCATCAGCTCATGCTCAACCCTTGACCCTGAAGTTGCAATGAATGTACTGGATCAGAAACAAGTCTTCCGGTGAGTTACATGTGGGATGTATGCCTTGACCTGACTGAGGTTCTGTGTTGAACCTCAACAGCTGGTACGGCATTGGATCGCAGGTCAACCATTGGAATTTCTTTAACCTGCCTCCAGGATTGTCTGAAGATGTTCAGAGACTCGTTCGCTCATTCTCTGTTCCCCGAGAGAAGCCCTTCCTCTTGTTTGTTCCGGAAGGCCATCCCTTGTGTGGGAAAGTTCCGTTTGTTCGGGATGTTGCACAAGATCAAAGGATTGTTTGCTCGTCTGACGACGACTTTGAGTCAATGAGCAAGAGTTCGCTCTGTCTCCTGCCTGCTCAAGTCGACATCCACCACCACCTTCTCTGGACGGCCCTCTCCTTGAACTGTTACCCGATAGTGAGAGCCGACCCGGTGACTTCGTACAATGACTGATGCCTGGGGATGATGTAGAGACCAGGTTGTCATTGAGTACTCCATCTTTCTGCCGATCATCGTTGAGGAACAAGAAAACTTTGATCATCTCAATCTTACAGCGCTTCAACAGACTCTGGCTGAGAAGAGTAAGACTTGTATGAGGGGGACAGTAGGCGGTCTGATCTTTGTGTCTCAAAGGCGCGAGCCCGTGGGCTTGGGAGCTAATGGATGAGAAGATTTGGGAGCTGCATCTGCACAACTGGAAGAAGCACCTACGTAGGCTGAAGGGGACAGAAACTTCCAAGGTACACGAGGACGTCAAGACAAGCGAAGACGCAGAGTTTCCGATGTGTTTCATTTTTCTCGGTAAGCACAGTCTTCCTGATTACGTCACCCTGGTGATTGAACAGGCACGAGATGTCATGAAAGTCGGTTAGTAAGCTCATGCCGATCTCTTGGATGTCTTACCCAAAACCAGGTGACCTGCTCCTGGTAATCAGCGGAGAAATCCCCGACAAGTTGCAAGAATGGAGCAGACGCTGGAAAGTGACCATCATCTCTGCTGAGAAGCTTGAAAAGACTGACCATCACAAGATGTTCGAATACTCTTCCCCCTTGGACAGGTTGCTGCCCCTTCGCTCGTTCGCCGATGATGCTTGCCCTGAGCAGATCGATGCGGGGGGGACTGTGGCACCTTGCGGCGGAGAGGCTCTTCGTCCTCGAAGAGGTCATGCTTCACCTGGGCGCGCAGGAAATCTTTACAGCAGAGTGCGATGCCTTGATCTATCACGACTTCAGAAGGCTCTTCCTTCACGTCCAGTCCAACGACAGGAGGGAAGGGGAGGACTACCTCGTCGTCGGCCCCATGACGCCCCAACACGCGTCCGGCGCCATCATGTTTGTCCGGGGCCCGAGCGCATTGCGGCAGCTCAACCGTTTCCTTGTCGAGGCTCTCAACGAAGACCAGCAGTTCCTTAACAACGACGTTCTGCTCCAGATGGTCAATGAGATGACCCTCCTTGCCGCCTTCTCAGTCGTCCACCCTCACCTCATACGGTTCCTTCCCATCCTCCCTGCAGATTACCTTCCCTTCCTGGTAACCCTCCTGCGCTCCTGCCTTCCCTTCTGACGGACTCCAGAAACCCGACCACGACTCGTTCAATCGTGAAGTGATCGCACATCACCGTATCACCTTCGGCGAGTTGTCTAGGAGGACCGTCAGCTTCCCACAGCCTCCGGGTGGCCCGGCGGGCCCGCACGCTGCCCCCGACAGTCCTTGGGACTTCCTCTTCGACCCCGCCGCTGTCGGCGTCTTCGTCGCAGGGCCGAGAAGTGATGGCAGCGGAGCTGTGAACTCGACGTGACGTTGTTGGCAGAGGATGGGCCCAACAAGAATGAGTGGATGGAGCCTGCGGAGACGCTGCATGGTCACTTCGTCGCCCACCTGCTGCATCGTGCGCGCCTGCGCGTCTGCTTCATCTTCTTCTCTCACATCTCCAGGTGGCTTCCAGTCTTCTACAACGTCACCTCGCACCGAGCCTCCTTCCTCCACAACCTCCACCTTCACAGCAAGGAGGTTCACTTCTTCCTAGCCAAGGGCAACGTGCTCGCAGACCACCTGTACCCTCCTCTTCTTGCTCCAGATGAAACGGGTCAGTCTCACAGCAGCGAGCTGAACGACTGTGAAGAGGACGGGAAGGATCCCACAAGGTGCAGCTCCTGCACAGACATCGATGTCGATGTAGCGAGTTGGAATGGCTGGCGACTAGTCCTGACGTGTCGTGGCGATGGGCTGACGATGGCTGCGAAAAAGTTCAGAGATACTCATGTCGACCAGGCAGTGCAAATACATCGATTCTGCATGGACCACGACACTGCAAGCCACGGAGCGGCAGCCAAGATCACAAGGTGAGAGTTTCTTCCTGTCTGATGATGAAGAAACATAATGTCAATCTGCTGTGCTCGTAATGACGACGTTCCTTTGTATTATCAACCCTCAGATCGGCCGCATGGATATCGCAGGATGGTCTCTTTCTCCTGCTGTGGAGCGAGTGTCCCATCACGGGTGGAGATTGCAGTAGTTTCATGCGCGTGATCGCGGATGCCTCCGCCTCCTCCGCCTCCTCCTCCTCCTCCTCCTCCTCCTCTTCCTCCTCCTCCTCCTCCTCCTCTTCATCCTCCTCTTCATCCTCCTCCTCCTCCTCCTGCTTCCACCCACAGTTTCTATCCACTGGGGTTCTGGCAGGAAAGCCAACAGAGATCGAGAGGGGAAGGTTCTTGCTCCCCCTTCTGTATCCCCAGCACAGCAACCGGCCCCAAACTCTCTTCTTCTTGCTGGAGGTAGCCCTCTCTCCACTCCTCTCCACTGTCTCTTTCCGCCGCGCAAGCAGCAAATTTGCGCTCCCGGGATCCACCCTTGGCCGGGGAGTGCGAGTGCTACTCGATGCTCCGTTCTCAGATGGAACAGCAGGAGCAGGGGCTGGCGCTCGAGCAAGAGACCTCTGCACGAAAGAGGAGGGAGCATGCCATAATTCCCGCACTTCGTCACTTGCTGTGCTCGTGCCCATGGAGTATGGAATCAGCCTTACCTCGACTGTGGACGGGGGGAGGAGCTGGAGCCCTCCGTCTCCCCTTTTCCCTCTAGGGCGACATAAAGCACTGAAGCTGCTTCCAGCCAACGAGCACGGGACGAGAAAGTCACAGTTTGAGTGCATTCCTGCCTGCCTTCCGATCTACAGTGTCGCCGCCATCGGCGGGTTCTCCGAGGACTCCTTCCTGATCATCCGATCGGTGAAGGGGCGCGAGGAGGAGTACAGCATCGAGCTGTGGAGGATGGGCGACCGAAGATTCGACCCTGACTGCCTCCCTCCCTGCTCTCCGTCTCCTCTGATCCAGCAGATCCCTCTCTCCTGCAGCTCGGAGCAGCCTGGTAACTGAGCACCGCTCCTGTCAGCCCCCCTGACAGTCTTGCAGGCCAGTCCGTCGAGCTGGTCGAAACGACAGAGGGAGGAAGCGCACTGACTGTTCAGGCTCTGCACGACTTGTTGTCCTGCGGACCGGGAGACGAGGACGGAGGGATCAAGGTCACGATCTCCACAGAAGGAGACTGGAGGCTACATGAAGCTTCCTTCGCTGCTGAGGTACCTCCTCCCCCCCCCCCCCCTCTCTCCTGGGCCAGCTAGTACAGTCCGATGCTTCTCCGCCTCCCCCCTTACCTAACCCCTCCTCTTCCTGCCTTGTCTCCGAAGTTCCCCTCCGAACGCTTCCTACTTTCTTGCCCACGTCACGTTCCGTCATGATCTCACTCAGCTTGAGCAGCGCGACGGGACTCTCACTGCGGTCGTGACCTGGAATCTTCGCAAGCAGCCACACCAGCCCGGCATCGACTCGGAGGGTCACGTGATCATCAGGACGCTTCGGCACAAGGTAGATCACCAGAAGACAACGCTCAGCGGCTAGGAGGAAGCCTCGTCAGTGAACTTCGGAATGAGTCACTCAGGCTGTTGAACTTTCACAGCCGCGCGGAGCGCACTGCCGCAGCCGGGGCTGCCGCGCCCCGCAGCTTACTAACTGGTACTACGTGACCGCCGCGCGGCCGCGCCCGGCGAGTACTATGACCGTACCGTCGGTCTCTAGCTCGTTTCTAAAACTTGATAGCACGCCTATTATGCAAAATTCGGCATGCGTACCGTACAGTGACGCCGCCGGCGGCCGGCGCGGCCGACGGGCGCGGCCCAGTGCCCGGGGCCGTCGTCCCGCTCCCCCCACCCCCGGCCTCTGAGTCCCCGTGCCGGGGCCCGGGGACTCAGACTCTTCAAGTTACGATGACCGGGACGGGCCCGGCACGCCGCCGGGCCCCGGCTGGCCCCGACCGTGGCCGGGCTTTTTTCCCGGAGTCCGATCGGACTGAATTTTCAGGCCCTGATCATACTCAGCCAATAGGAACTTTTGCTTATGAAGTGATACCCCTACAATTGACCGATAAAGTAGGGGTACTCGTTTACCAACATGAACTTTTGAAAATAGATACCTTTGTGATCCGACTACCTGTGGAGCCCCACCCCCCTCTACCCCCCAGTCATTCTCCACCCCCAAAAATGGAACACCCCTACCCTGAATAGGAAATACCACCGGTAATGGTAGATTATGTAACCCCACCCACTCTAATACTGCTGTAGCACCCTTTTCACCCCAATCTACCACATGACTTCTACCCCTCCCTCCATCTCCACCCCACCCCTTCACACCCGTATAACCCCCACCCCCATAAAAGGAACTTCTCCCCCCATTTTCTCATCACTCCAATGCATCGCCTAATCGGTATCCTAGTGATCATGGCGTCGGCAGCCGCCGTACCCATGTCTTCCTCCTCCTCCAAGGTGACCCGATCACGATCTCCGACTCCCCGTCCTCAGTCACTGTTCTCAACGCCTCTCCTACCTCGTCTCTCTCCACCATCACAGTCTCGCAATGAACCTCCTTGCTCCTTCTGCCGCCAGCCCAAACTGTTTGTGTCCAGTGTTGACGTTGTTGATTGCAATGCTCTCCCGTCACAATCATTTTCATTTGACACGATACGTGCAGCATGTTTCGCTTCCCGTCTCTTCCTTGCAGGGAGCGCCAGTTCCACCGTCCCTTTGCCAGGAGTGCAAAGAAATTATTGGGACCTTGCAGGTTTGAAGTTCCTGCATTGATCGTATCATTCTGAGTCGCATCTTGATCCATATAGAACATCGTCTCTGATGCCAACAAGACGTACAGCGATCAAGTCCAGAAGTTTTTCCTTGAGAATGTCTGTCCTCAACTGGTAAGTTTCCCCTGCTATGTGTGCAAAGCATTCAGCCTCTGCTTGTTCCTCTCCGTTCATGCCTTCATTGACTGGATTGTCTTTCAGCCACCGGAGAAGCAGAGCGACTGCAAGGCCTTCGTGGTGCAGACGCTGCCGAAGGTGAACAGTCGATCGAGATCCTCTGCCAGTCAGTATTCTTGACGATCAGCATCAGATCTGGGCTGACATCATTGACGATGTTCTTGACCCGGTAAGACTTTGTTGTCCTTGAGAGATTGATGCTGCCGATGTGATATGCCTGCTAGACACTCACTTGCAAGTCGCTACAACTGTGCAAGACGGAGGTAGCTCACTGCCCAACTGTCATCCAACTTTGTAACTTGTCCCCCGACAGACTAGGGGTTTGCAAGACGTCGTTGAATGCAAACTCTGCCAGCAAGTAAGATCGATAAAATATGTTGTGATATGCAAGAAACTTCGTTCTCAACACGCTGCAGGCGGCCAAGTTCATTGACAAAGAGATTCTTGAGTCACCGGATGTGGAGGCGAAGGTCAGGAATGTACGAATTCTCCTTGTCCTCACTGCTCTGCAGGTCACTGAGAGGCTGAAAAAAGTTTGCGATGATATTCCCAATGCAAACGCCACCGTCATTGCCAAGTGCAGAGTGCGTTTGAGGCAGCGACCTGTGCTGGTCTCACGATTGTTGGTATCAGACGGTCATTGATAGCGAGACGCCGAAGTTTCTTGAGGACCTCGGGAAAGTGATCAGCGACAGGATCTGTATCGAGGTTGTACTTACTGCGCTGTTTCATCCTCTTGATCTGATGTGAGAACAGGCCGAACTCTGCCCGAACGATGTTCTGAAGAGGAAGACCAAGGTCTCAGATCCGCATGTTGCTTGTCCGGTGCTGAATCGCGTGCAGGCAAACCCAGCAGCTTGCAAAGATTGCAAGAAGGTGTTTTCGTGTGATCTCATGTCCTGATGTGAACATCTGACTCTGCTTGTCGTCGACAGCTCATCGTCCAGCTTCGCAACGTCATGACGGACTTGAACTCTACCTACTCGCAAGCCGTCGATGTGAGGTGGCGGCGGGGAGGGTAAGGGTCAGTGATATGGTTGGTGGACAGCAATTCCTCATCGAGCACGTCTGTACCCCACTTCCTCAAGAATTCCGCAAGGAATGCCAGGTGTGCGGTCGGGGAGGATACGATCCCCTTGCCTAACTTCCCACCAGGACGTCGTCGATAAGTCTGTCGCCGAGATCTGGGCGGAAATTCTCACCGATGTTTTGGACGAGACCAAGGTCTGCACAGACCTGAAGCTCTGCGACTCGTCGGTGAGTTGGGCTGGTCGGAGACCCTCGCCTCCTGACGTGAAGCTCCGCAGTCCTACAAGGGCGTCGTAGAGTGCAGGATCTGCAAGGAGGTGACTTTGAGTTGAGTGTAGCTCGTCGCCTGAGCTCGCCCCCAGTCGACCAAGTTCATAGACGACAAGATCTTTGAGGACCCCAAGATCCAGGAGAAGGTGCGAGGGAGTCCCAGGGCTCTTCCTGTCTCGTTCTCCCTCCTCCTCTCTCGTTCTCCCTCCTCCCTCCTCCCAGCTCCCATCCCTTCACCTCTCCCCTCGTCGCTCCTTGCTCGGCCTAACGTCGTTGCGAGCAGGTGGCAACGAGGCTGGAGAAGATCTGCAAGAGAATCCCTGACGCCAACCCTGCGATCATCGAAAAGTGCCAGGTGCTCCTGCAGCCCCGGCGTTGCTGTCCTGACATGCAGCAGACGATGGTGGAGCAGGATACTCCGGACCTCATGGCGGACATCGGGCAGGTGGGGAGGTGGCAGGGAGTCTGCTGGGGTGACTTGTTGGGCAGAGGATCAGCAACGAGCTCTGTCAGGAGGCGCAGATTTGTCCGGGGAGATGAGGACGAGGGAGGGAGGAGAGGCGCGTGCTCCTGTGGTCCTGGGGGTGAGGAGCGGAGAGGTAGGAAGAGCTTTGAACGTATGGAGCTGGGAGGGAGACTGCTGTTTTCCAAGTTTTTTATGCCTGTCGGCAGTGCAATCCCGCTAGATTCTGCTGATGCTGTCACTTCTCCCTCCTCCTCCTCCTCCCCCCCCCCGTTGCTCCTTCTCCCTTCTCATGCGGCTCCTTCCTTACAGCACAACCCCTCCCTCCCTCCCTCCCTCCCTCTCTCTCCTTCACCTTGGTTGAGATTGTCCTAGCGAGCCATACTCGGCTCCTCCCCTGCCATCAAGTCTCAGGAGCGAGTCCTGCTAGTTGTCTGGTGGTGACCTCGTGTGGATGAAAGAAGAGGAGCTGTCGTCGATGTCTGCCAGCACGTTCACTCCTCCTCCTCCTCCTCATCCTCATCCTCCTCTCCCCGCCCCCCCTACTCTGTCTCCTCCTCTTCCTGCTCTTCTCCTCCTCTGACTCCTCCTTCCCTCCCCTCCTCCTCCTTCCCTCCCCTCCTTCTCCTGTCTCCTCCTCCTCCTCCTCCTCCTCCTCCTCCTCCGGCCTCCCAATCACCTTCGCCGTAGTCTCCTATTACATCCTCCGCGCCCCCGGAATCTGCTGAGGTATCAAGGCAAGGCAAGGGGACAGGGGAACAGTAGAGGGCGAGAGTGAGCGGCGGGGAGGAGAAAGGGGAGAGGAGCGATAGGAGGAGCAACAGAGGAAGAGGTAGGAGGGGTAGGGGAGGACTTGAACTTACTTGTGCCTGCTCGGTAGGACGCGAGCGGCCAGCTGGTCACCAACAAGCGAAACGATCTGCACGGGAGCTCAGACAAGGAGGATAGTGAGTGAGATGAGTGATTGCACGACTGAATGAATTGAAAAATGAAACATAACGATGATGAGGAAGGAGGAGGAGGAGGAGGAGGAGGAGGAATGGGGGGCGGGGGGGGGGAGGGGGGACAAGGAGGAGAAGGGGGGGGAGAAGAAGAAGGAGGAAGGGCAAGGAGGAGAAGAAGGAGGAGGAGGAGGGGAGGAGGGGAGGGAGGGGGGGGTGGGGTTGTAGGAGGAGAACCTTGAACATGGCAAGGGCGATAGCGATCGTGATCATGAGGGCTGCTCGCAACGTCAGCCTGCTTCCTCCTCCTCTCCTCAAGTCACCAGAGAAACTTCTCCTGCCCAGCGCTCCTTCCTGCAATCAGTCGTCACACGCAGCAACAGCAGCAGCAGCAGCAGCAAGCGACTCCTTGCCTGCGTCCAGACCAACTTGATCCCTCGCCTGCAGTCAGGTCATCATTCCCATTTGTAGTGCTGCATCTCCTATCCTCCTCCTCCTCTTCCTCCCTCCTCCTCTTCTTCTCCATCCCTCCCTCCTCCTGTTTCTTCTTCTCGTTCCCTAACTGTCTGTTCCCTCCTACCTCGTCATGCTATCTGCTCTCACTGCCTTCTTCTCCTCATGAACTTCACTGCTGCTGCTCCTCTTGCTCCTCCTGCTTCTTCAATCCTCTCCTCCCTCTACTTCTCGCTTCCACTTCTGCCTATCGTTGACCTTGTCAGCATCATGCGCTCCTCGACGTCCACCGGAGAAGTCCAAGCGACTCCAAGATGCACCTGAGGGAAAAGACGTGAGGACGGAGGGAGGGGGGAGGGAGGCGGGGGAGGGGGGAGAGCACGTCAGAGAGTTTACGAGGGTGGAGGTGAGCTCGGAGGAAGGGGTTGAAGGGAGCTGGCAAGGAGGAGAGGAGGGAGGTGGGGTGGAAGGGATGAGGGGATCTCTAGGAGAGGAGGGAGGTGGGGTGGAAGGGATGGGAGGATCTCTAGGAGAGGAGGGAGGTGGGGTGGAAGGGATGAGGGGATCTCTAGGAGAGGAGGGAGGTGGGGTGGAAGGGATGGGAGGATCTCTAGGAGTGGAGGGAGGTGGGGTGGAAGGGATGGGAGGATCTCACGGGCTCGTAGATCGCCTCTACGCCATCTCCGTGCACAAACTCGTACTCGTAGCGGATATGCGAGGCTGGAGCGAGAAACTGAGGAAGCGAGTGAGACCGGCGGGCTATGGAAGCGCGAGGCGAGGAAGCGACGGGGGATGAGGAGGAGGGAGAGAAGAAAGAGCGTGGATGGGAAGAGCAAGAAAGTGAAGAAGAGAATGAGAAGAACTGAATCAAGATTGTTCTTGAGGAGAACAAGGGAGGAAGAGAGGGGAGATTTGAAGAGGGGGGGGGAGAAGAAAAGGAGTAGGAGAGAGAAGGGAGGAAGGAGGAAGATAGGAGAGGGAGGAAGGAGGAAGATAGGAAAGGGAGGGAGGAGGAGGAAAGAGGAGGGAGGAGCAGCATGCCGTGTAGTCGTTGAAGTAGCGGATGTGACAGTAGATGGTCGTTCCTGTCTCTCGGATGGGTCGAATGTGCCCAGGAAGCACGTGATCCAAATCGACTCCTGCAGGGGGTCAGAAGACCTCTGCTCCCGCTCCTGCCCCTGCCCCTGATCCTGCCCCTGCCCCTGCCCCTGCCCCTGATCCTCTCCCCCCTTCTCATGCTGCTGCTGCTGCTGCTGCTGCTGCCCCCCTCGCTTCCTTTCTTCTTCCTCCTGCTCCTGCTCCTCCCTTGCTCCTGCTTGCTGACCTGCAGCATCCAGAATCTCTGCGACGGTGAACTTGTCGTCCTGCACAAACGAGAGAATAGAATAGAGTGAAACGAAGTCCGAGAACAGAGAAATCTGAGTGAGGAGTGGTAGAGGAAGGGTGAGGAATAGGAGGAAAACAAAGTGGAAAATGCAGGAAAGGAAGGAGAGAGGAAGGGAGAGAAAGGAGAGAGGAAGAGGAAAGGAGAAGAGAGTAGAGGAGGAAGGGAAAGGAGAGGAACTAAAACGACAGGAGCTGACTGTGAGCGAGAGGATACTAACTTGCGAGTTGGCCGGGAAATCTTTCACGGTCGTGATACCTCCAAAGGCTCCTACACAAGAGCTTGAGAGGCTGTCCCGACAACCTCCTCCTCTTACCTCGCTTCGTCTTCACCAGCCTGCCCTGCATGTGCTTCGAATCGCCTGTGCTGCTTGTCACGATCACCCAAGAGGGCAGGACTTTGACTGCTCACCGACGAATCGTTTGTCCCGCGATTGGAAGAAGAACGTTGGAGCCTACAGTGTAGGAAAGAATCAGCATCAACTTCCTCCCATCCCCTTCAGAACCCTCCCTTCCTCCTCAAGACCCCTCCCCGCCCTCCTCTCTTCCTCCTCGCTTCCTTGCTTTCTCACTTTCACTTCCCCCCCCACTCCCCTCCCCTCCCCTCCCCTCCCCTCCCCTCCCCTCCCCTCCCTCCCCTCACTCCTTCCATCATCGCAGTCATACAAGTGACTGAAAGGGCCTCCGCACCTGGACGGCATGGTACAGCTTGAGTTGGAAGTGTTGGATGCCCGCGACAAGATAATCATCCCACAAAACCGTCTGCAATAAAACGATTACAGCTTCAATCCCTCCTGCTCCTGCTCCTTCCCCTGCCCCTGCTCCATGCCCCTGCTCTTGCTCCCCCCACCTGAAACGGTGAAGCAAAGGGACATCTCGTGGCGTTGCGATGGCAGACCTGCAAGGTCGATCAAGTCTCTTTCTCCTCCTTCTCATTGTCCTCTCACCCTCTCCTGCCTCGCCTCCCGCACGTACGTTGTGATCAGCGGCTGCCAGTTCACGTCAACAGCCTGCTGTACTTCCTCCCCATACCTCGCGCGTGTCTGTGTTGGGATATCTGACATCGTGAGCGTCGCAAAGGCGACACTGAGGCACAAGGAAATTTAGTATGCTCTGCGTCCTCGCCTTGAAGAACAACCTTCATATCTTTGCAGTATTCTTCCTCTGCTATGTTGATTTGCTGGCATCCTGTTAGTTATCACATTTCTGTCGTCTCTGCTCTTACTGGCGTAGACCCCACCAGTTCTTGTTTCACATACCCCACAACCGGCTCGTACTCCAAGTAAGCCTACAATATACACGTCAGTCAGCTCGGCTAGGGTCAGCCCTCCTAGCCACCTTCTCAAGTCCAAGTTTCCATATGACGATGTAGCCGAGGATCAAGAAGTAGCATGCGTTGGAAAGGATCGTCAACCAGCGGTCGTTCACTTTGACAGTCTTTGCCATCCTGCCCCAGTATAAGTATGCTCATGGAAACCGACAAGATTGAAAGTACAGCACACCTGTAAGAGAACAGTCCATCAAGGACTCCCTCTGATTTTGACATTGTATCAGCTCTTTCGCCGAAATTCCGCCTGCAATCATCGATTTTTTGAGATCCCGAGAGCGCTCGATGTTTGTTCTACGATCCCACAACTTTCACTCTCCCTTCACTGTACCGAGCTTACATTCTCACTGATATCTTGCTTCTCCCAGCTCTTTGCTACATCTCTAAGGGCCAGGTTATGCTCTTTCTCAGCTCATTCTGCTCCTCCCTCCTCCCTCCTCCCTCCTCCCCTCCTCCCTCCTCCATCCCGCTCCGCTTTCGCTTTCGTCATTCGATCCATACCAAAAAAAAGACAACAAATTCAAAAAAAGAGTAAAAAGAATCTTGTAAAAGGGAATTCTTCCGATTCCCTCGTTCCTGTCAACATCATAATTCCCCGAATTAATCGATTATCGCAGGATGATCATGAGGTGGCAAGCAATGCGGTAGCACGACCAACAACCTGTCGACCTGCTGTTACCTCACACCCTCCTCCTCCTCCTCCTCCTCCTCCTCCTCCTCCTCCTCCTCCTCCTCCTCCTCCTCCTCGCACTCCCTCCTCCTCCTCCGTTGGTTCCTCATCACTCGTCACCTGACCTCTTCTCCTCTCTTGGCTGCTCGTTCTCCACTCTCTCTCTCCCCTTTCTCTGTTTCTTCTTGTCGCGGCAGCTGTGCTTCAGGATCGATCAAGCTGATTCGTCATTCAATGTTTGCATTTTGATCCACAAACAGCACCTGGGATTCTTCTAAAGCACCATCCCTTCATTCATTTCTCCACGCACTCGTAAAGTTCTACTCCCACATCATAAGATGGCAGAAGCTGTTTTTCCAACCTGCAGACTTCTGTTCCTGGCCTTGATCGTTCAGCTGGCGAGCAGCATGGACACACCACTGGACGGAGTTCCTCTGCCGAGGTGAGGGCTTATCCAACTCGTCTGCTGATTCTCAGCCTCCCATGATCGCGTCCTGCAGGTCCGTCACGCAAATGGAGAGCAAGCTCGGGGTGAGCGACAACATGCTCCCTGGAGGGAAGAGGAGCGTCGACAAGGGACAGTTCGCTCTGAGCTCCTACGATCAAGAGATCCTCGCTAAGGGGCCCCCGCAGCAGGGCTCCGGTCCTCCTCCCGACCAGCCGACCCAACCTGCTGCCCCTTCACCGTCCTACTCGCCCATGGGCTCCTACAGCCAGGGGTCCTATCAGAGTCCTTATGCTGCCTATCCCAACACTTATGGTAGTGGCACTGCCGCTAGCACGCAGAGCCCTGGCTACTCCTACTACCAACCCCAGCAGTACTCGCCCTATCAAGCCTCCCCCTATCAAGCATCGTACCAGTCGCAGCCGGTGTACCAGCAGCAATACAGTCAGGTCTGCTCATGCTTCCCTGACTTGCATGCGAAGTTCACTCGTCTCTGTCCTCCTGCAGTATCCTCAGCAATCTGCATACCCAACAGGCAGCTCCTACTACGATTACTCTCAAGTCCACGGACGGCTCGGGGGAGCCAACAGCATGAGTAAGGGTAGTAGGGTGAAGTCCTTGCTCTGACTCCGCGTCTTAGTTGCGTCTGCTGCCGCCTACACAGACCCTACGCAAGGGAGTCAGAGTTCGCAGGGCCGGCAGTACTCCAAGTTCGGATGGCACCCGACACTCGAGCGAATTATGGGGGTCCCTAAGAATCAGGTAAGGGCTGTAATAATGAGGTAAGATATACACCTTACCCACGTCCTCTCCTTCAGAGAACCACTGGACCACGACTTGCACTACATGGGCAGGTAGGAGCGCTGATTACTGCGCCGTGCTCGTGGTCTTGACTTGCTGGATCAAGCTCTCCAAGATGGAATCCATGGCCAAGCCCAACCTCAAGCCAGAGTCCCCGAGGTCTCTTGTGCTCCTCCCGCCCATCTTTCTGATTTGACTTGTCCTCTCAGTGTCGATCCTACACAAAGCAACGTTGCTGCTGAGAAACTCAAGAAGGTACCATGTCCTGCTCATATTTCCGTCTTCCCGTTGGGCGATGGAATAGCTCACTCACATTCTTATTTCTTCAGGCTCAGGAACTTCTACGAAAGAGCGTCAGTCTCGGGCTGCAGGCACTCTTTGTGATGATCTGCATGTCTCGTACTCACAGCCAACTTTCTAGATTGGGACGAACAAGAAAGACGAGGATAAGCAGCTCAAGAAAGATCCTTGCACAACCTTGCGTTGCGAGCGAACTCTGACTCACGGAGGTACTGTGGTGCTGCAAACTCTTGCGAGTTCTCACTGGAATATCTGGCAGGACGCACTGATGGGGTATTGGTGAACCAGGTGATGCGAGTGTCATCTCTATGCATGTTCCTTACTTGTTGCCAGAATCGACAAGGTCGGCAGATTTCTAGCCAAGAGGCACTCGCGCACACGACCAAAAAGCACATGGCCAGCATGCATGCGGCGCTCAAGGTGATGCTTACTGCTAGGGAATGGGTTGGGGAGGGAAGGAGGAGGAAGAAAAGCAGGGGTTCAGCGGCTGTCTAACCCATTCTAGGCCAACTTGAGAGCTCAAGATTCTGATTCACAATCCAACTATGGGGACTCAGTGCATGCAGCGGCGATCAAGTCTCGAGCACGGAAGGTGGGTGAGTTTGACACGGCAGTGCTGCTGAAGATGGAGCAGGCGATCAACTACAAGGCTTGGCAGCTGCACGAGGGCTCATCGCTGCCAGGGACAGAGGGAGCAGAGGCTGGGTGAGCATTTGACGTTCCTGCCGCATGTTGACCTGCCCCAGCAGCGGGACAGCAGATGTGAAGAAGGTTGGACCCGAGAGCTCCATCGTCATGGCGGTTCTGATGCTCATTTTCATCGGTGGGACTCTCATCCTTGCTCGGGATTTTTCACTCATCTTCAACCTCAGGGGTTGTGGGGATGGCCGGCGTTGTCGCTTGGGTGCATGCGCGCAGAGAGAAGAAGAGACATGCCCTGCAAGCGCTCAAGGGCTTCGCTTAGATCAATCAGTTTAATCTCATCGTAGGGTGTGAGTATACAAGTTAGTAGCTCAGGTAGCCTGCTAGTGAACAGATAATCGTTGAAGCTTCGCGCATAGCTCTACATCACTGGCAGAGGAAGCGAAGCCTTGTCCAGGTCTAGGAAGTAGTCGTGGTTCATCGCCGTCTTGGCTGAACATCTCTTGGAGGGCTCGTAGACAAGCGTCTGAGAGAGGAGATCCAAGGCTGAAGGCTCCATGCTAGTCAGAATCTCCTTGAGGGACTTACCTGCCCACTGGGGAAAGGTCGGCTTGTAGTCCGGCAACTGTGTCACGCCAGGCCAGGTCTCTTCCGTGGGGGTGCCGAGGGCACGGAAGATGCGGAAGAGCTCGTCGATCTCAGAGTCTCCTGCAAAGATGGGACGACGAGAGACCATCTCAGCAAAGATGCAGCCGATGGACCAGATGTCGACGGGAGTCGAGTAGTGCTTGGATCCAAGGAGGATCTCCGGTGCTCGATACCAGAGGGTCACCACCTCATGAGTGTAGGTCCTGACAGGGATGCCGAAGGCGCGGGCGAGACCGAAGTCAGCGAGCTTGAGGGTTCCGTTCCTGTCGATGAGGAGGTTCTGAGGCTTGAGATCGCGGTGCAAGACGCGGTGAGCATGGCAGAAGGAGATGCCTTGCAACATCTGATACATGTAGGACTTCACCATGTGCCCCGGCATGCCTCCGTTGGCGTTGAAGCCATCCATGTGTTTCTTGAGGTCGTTGTCGAGGAACTCGAAGACGAGATGCAGCTTGTTCTCGCTGTGGATGACATCCTTCAGGTTCACGATATTGGGATGTTGGAGCTCCTTGAGCAAGGAGATCTCTCTGATCGCTGTGGATGGGACACCTTCATCCTCGGCATCCAGACGAATCTTCTTGAGGGCCACGATGGCCTGTGTCGACTTTTCCTTGGCCTTGTAGACGACTCCGTACGTACCTTCCCCGACCTTCTCGAGCTTGATGTACTTGTCCATGCTGACCTGGCAAAGAAGGTGAGGGAGAGATTCCAGTTTATGAGGATGTTCAAAGCAATCAGCGACACGAGTCATTCAATAATGTCACACAGCATATCAATCAAGGGTCATTTGTTCAATGTGATGAAACAACATCACTGTCTAGCATGGAGAGCATTAACATGCATTTCAGTGTGAAACTATAAGGCAATGCGTTTGATATCGCAGTCGACAATTTAGCTATGTCATCCCTCTCATGCAGGCCTCTCAGTAGTCAAAGGCAAGCAAGCAGACTAGTGATCGGGGTAAACAATGTGACACTGAAAAGAATCATGGACAACAGGAGGATGTTCAGTATAGTCATGGCATCAACTGCCTGCAAATTTCAGAAGGATAAAGAATAGAAATATGGCACGACGATGCTAACTGGGTCCACGAGAAATGCTCCCTAAGGTTACAAAGTGAACGCCGAGTGGATCCAAATGAACGAAAATGCTACGAGGAGTCTAAGAAGAGGGTGTGGATGGAGAGAAAAAGGCATACGAGAAAATAATGGAAAAAAAGATATGTAGCAAAAAGAAAATGAAAGTTCAAAGAGTACGTGGAGGACAAGAGCCGCAAGAGCAGCAGGAGAGAAAAATGTAGAAATAGGGTAAGAGCGAGAACGATCAGCAGCATCTGATCAAGATGTAACAGGACCAAGAGCAAGGAGGGAAAAGAGGAGCAGTACTTGGATGAACAAGTACAGCACAAGCAAGAGAAGGGGCAGGAGAAGGGGCAGGAAGGCGGCGATGGGACGGTGGGAGGTGTCGTTGAATGCATGCGGCGGGTGTGGCGTAAGGCGGGAGTTCGAATCGACTAGACAGACCACCCCACCCCTTCTCCAATGGCACTTTCCTCAATTCACATTGGAGAGGAGGACAGGGGTAGTACAATTAACGTTAGTGGGTAGCTGGCACAAATATGAATTTGAGAAAGCTACCAGAAATGGGGGTAATAGTACAAAGTACAAAAAGCGGGGGAAATAACAGTACTGTACTTGGTACCATATTATATATTAATTACTGAAAAATGCTATATGATGTATTCATATGTGAACAAATTTCGAATGCGGTACGAACAAAGTGTTCGTACAAGCTTTTTCTCTGGCTGTAATTAAAATTGTTCATTGTAAGCACCCGCCGCCGGCCGGCGGCGCCGGGCCGCCGGGCCGGGCCCGGGGGCGGGGGGCCCACGGTGGCACTGTACTCACCGTACTGCCAGTCACGAACTTCGGAACTGCCAGTGTGGACTCAGCAACCCGGTTGATGAACGCCGGTGACAGTGAGCTTTTGTGGCGCCGTGAAGTCACGAACGAGTCCCGCTGAGCGGAGTTCAGTGAACGGTTCAGTTCAACCGTTTGGCGGTCCGAGTCGCCGGGACGGAGTCCGGGACCCAGACTCCGGGAGGCTCCGAGTCGACGGCGAGTCCCGCGCGGCCGCCGTCCGAGGCTGGCACCGCCGCTCACTGTCCGGCGACTCCCCGGTCGCCGGGACGGGCCCCGGCCCGGGCCAGTCCGTGGCAGCTGAGCGCCCGGGGCTCGGAGGGCCGGACCGGCCTGCCGGGGCCCGGCACTGGCAAAAAGGCCGCCGAGCTGTGGCACCGGCGTCAGGGGCCGCGACTGTCCGGGGATATTCCGGTCTGGTACGTGCTCGAAGCGTTGTGTTTTAAAAAAAAGGTCGCAGAGACCACCCTCAATTCGAATGACCGTTCCCTTCAAGTACCCCACTTTTGGAGAACAAATTAGTGGGTAGTAACACTCATCAAAATTGAGGGGTGGGTATGTCCACCCCCTTGACTTCCCTATGGCTAGATCGAGCCCCCTGCAATTGCAACCCTCCCTCCCACCCACCCACCAAAAATGCGATGATCTGACCCTATCTCACCAAGTACCCCCTTATAACCCTACATTTACATGGTACAGAAGGGGTACACACATGATTTTGGGTACCCCTACCCCTATATGCATCTGACGAGTGGCCAGAGTGGGAAGTACGAGAAAGAGCTGCTGCGAGAAGAGGGACACAAGGAGGACAAGGAGAGAGGACAGGAGAGGAGAGGAGAGGAGAGGAGAGGAGAGGAGAGGAGAGGACAGGACAGGACAGGACAGGACAGGTCAGAAGGATAAGGGCGATCATACGATCAGACGTACCGATTTCTGGATCCATACTTCATAGGAATGAATACAACCGAGCTTTTTGGCAAGGTGCGCATCATCATTGTTTAAAATCAGTTCTGACTCTCATGAATAGATCCACCATTCCATTGATGAATACCGAAAGCCAATAATCGAATGCCAGAAGGATTCATCAGAGCATGACCCGCATGGACCGCAGCATGAAGATGGCTCAGACACGTGGTGAGTCCATTGGTTGCTCTTGTTTCCTGACCTTACACGGGATGCCAGCGATTCGCACAAGTCAAGTACGTCAGGTCACTCCACTGAGACCATCATCCTCGATGCTTCAGGGACCTTGATCAAAGTCGCTGTCTCCACCTTGGAGAAATTTGGTCCCGACTCAGTGCTGGGGAGGCTCGTTAGTGAGCGGTGGCGGCAGTGGAACGATCCCATCTTCATTGACATCGACCCTGATCACCTCAAGGCCATCCTGTACTGCTACAGATATGCTCGATTGCCGTCCACCGTCAACGATGATATCATACCAGTTCTGGACGCATACGGACTTTCTGACTTCATTGAGCCTGCGGACAAGCTGGAGACGGTGGCGGACAAGATCGATTACGCCAATGACTTGGCGTCGGGTTGGGCTCAAGAGTACATTGATCTTGAGATCCTCAAAGTGGGATGCCTTGTTGGACTACCAGCAACAAGTGATGGCCCGATCTCGTTGTCTAAGAACCGGCACGTGATCGAGCTGGCTGGAAGCGAGCGGGTGGTGATCTGCACGGAGGACGAGCAGAACGTGTTCCTGCTGGATCTTGCCCGGGATGCGCTGGAGAAGATGAAGGTCAGGACGATTCCTGCATACATCAACTGCGTGTTGCCTCACCTGAGGAAGACACTGCGGGGATATGGCGTGCACGCGGATGTTGTAAAGCGTGCTGCACCGCCAGGGAGCAATGCACGGAGGAGCAGTTATCTTGTGTTGGAACTCTCTCCCCTTCCTGTTGCGCTCAACATCCAAGATCGGGTTCTTGGGGCCATTAACACTGCAGTCGAGTGGGCCAAGCCGTACATGGACTTGGAGCTGACGATCCTTGGATGTGTGCTGTCCAAGAATGACTGCGGAGGTCTCCCAGTGATTGAGATGGGCTCGCACAAGCATGTTGTCTGTATCTACGAGAGGAGCTTCGCTCTGCTACCAGGGAATTGCGAGAGCCCCGAGCCCGAGGACGCGGACGCGGACTATGCCATCTTCGTGCCAGAGATCAACGAGGCGCTGTTCCAGCTCAATGTCTTCAGCATGCACACGTATTTAACGTACATCCTTCCTCTCTTGTCCAAAGTGATGCAAGAGTGCGGAGTGACAATCAACCACGAGGTGAAGAATTGCAAGCCTCCTTCCTTCCCGGGGTCCACACAATATCAATATGTTCTGTTAGAGTACACGACATTGCATTAAAGTCTTGTCGGGACAATGCCGGCCCTCACATCACCCACATCACCAGCGCTTCCTGTGCCTGAAGCGCCATCACCGAGTCCGACAGCTTCCACATCGCTACGACAAGGACAGAGAGGCGGCTGAGGGTTGTGATGGCGCTGTACAGTGACGAGTGAAGCCTCTTCCTCAGCCACCATAGCCTGAACTGCAACCATGCTCGATCAATCCGCAATCTTGCATTCGTTCGGCTTACCTTGCGAGATGGTTCTGTGTAATTCGGCAGGACAAAGTGAAGGAAAGGTAGACGCTGCAGGACTAGAAAGATGAGCATCCTGTTCATCATCACCAGCAGCTGGCCAATAATCGCGTGCCAGACAGCAATTGTTTCATGAGTTCGGCTTGCTGCGAGGGTGTCCGGTGAGCTCGCGGTTTCAGCCACTTGATTTGCATGGTCCTTCTTACGGAAAGACGGCAAGTCATTCTGCTGATGCTGCTCTTGACGGGATGTGACCGACGTACATCTTGACAGCAAGACTATGCTCCTGCAGAGACAGTAGAGAGTGCATATCTGCAAGACCTCATTCATGCAAGGGACAACAAACCATGTCTTACCTGTAGGAGAGACAAGAACAGGGGGGCTAGTCCCACACAATGAAACAATTTATCGCCGAATTCGGAAAGGTAAGAAGATCCCTTCTTCTTTACAAGCTGTTCCATCCAAAAACAACAACAAACATTACTCTCTGATTTTGACATTCGATTAAATGCACCTTCTTATGTTCCGGTTCTGACGATCCAACGATCCAATGCCAGATATCGTCTTTTGTGCTCCCATAGAATTTCTGGCTCCAACCGTTTTGTCTGAATTTGATTTCGTTTTTCAGAGATTCTAGGTCCTTGAACCTGATAAGTCATGAGTTTGCGTCTGTTGAAATCAGAAGTATCAGGGCACCTCCAACAATCCCGAAGATTCATCCTCTCGTTTGCAAACACATTCTCGAAGAAGATCGATGCATCTGAATAGGCCTAAAGTGCATATCACGGACTATCGGCAAGCACTCGACTCGTCAACCAGAAGCAGCGATATCATCGACGACATTATGTAAAGTGGAACCTACAAAAAAGAAGCGGGGTCAACTATGAAGTACCATATTAGCACATTGCAACACATGGAATCTAGAGCTTGCTGTTTCTGGGCCAACGACAACATTCGCGTTGTGAGTTCTGACTGTGCTGGACATCTCTTTGCCACACAAGTGAGGAGGAGCAAGAGCAGCACAACGGCATCTCACCTGGATCGCAACCCTGTACCCTTAGCAACGCAGGAACATGAAGAGTCGGATTCCCCGTGGACGATGCTTGCGGGACATCCTTCAGACTCTCCTTCCAAGGAATCCTGCGGATTGCACGCAAAAATCGTCTGATAGGATGGCCTCTGGCTCCACGTGACTCCGGTCTGACCCCATCACGGCTCCCTCCTCCTGCCCCCCTTCCTTGGTTCGACCTGATGGAGCATCTCACATGGACCAGAAGGCTCGAATGAGCATCTTACATGCCATGCGAGGATCGAGACAGCACGAAAACAATGAGATGAAGGACGCACGGCAGGAGGGCAAGGTTTACCGTACAGCACAGCGCAGCCTGTAGCAGGTCGATCAGCAAACATCAAAACACAGGCAAAAGAAGTAAACCACGATCTGTACGAGTGTGCCGACAAACAACTGGGAAGCAAGAGCATCAGCATTAAAAACTATCAAGCCATGACTTACAGTGACTTCCCATGTGGAATGGTGACAGAAGTCAGTTGAGAATGTCCGTGTGCCTCTTTCTGGCCTGTTGAATACTCCTCCGACTTTCATTGATTCCCCTCCTCCTCTCATTGATTGGACGCGTCCAGACGAAGCAAAAGTTCCGCGCATGCCTGTAATCGTGCCACTGTCTAACGGAATGGCGGCATAATCTCGCGTAGTGATCAACATGACAGCGATTGGATCACGAAATGGTTGGCGAAATCTCACGAGCAATAACGGGTCTGTACGGATTCACATTTTCCGACATCATTTCCAATATTCCTGACGTGAAACATGATGGAGCAGGAAACATCTTCCCTCCGGCATATTGTACATCATTGCTCCATTCTCTTCCGTGCAAACCCCCCCCCCTCCGTTGAAAGCTTTAACCTCTTCGGAACTCCTACCCGGCTACTCAGACGTTGATGTTCTACAGCACCACTTGCACCATGCTGTCCTTCTCGACAGTGTACTACAAGGTTCTTCATCATACTGCAGGTGATGTTCTTGTAGACGTCTCGCGCGCATACTCCTCCTCCTCCTCCTCCTCCTCCTCCTCCGCCCACTCCGTCCTATTCACCACCTGGTGGTGCTCGCAAAGTGAAACTTTAAAGCTTCAGAACTGTCCTAGTTGAAACTTTCAAACTTTCAAACTTTCAAACTTTCAAACTTTCAAACGTTGACTTGTCGAGAGCCCTCATCTCCACACTGACCCAAGGACACGGAAATAGATCAATGGTGAGTTCCGCGAGAGGGTGAAGAAGTGACCAGGAGCATGACGACCGTAGTGATCAAGGATAGTACAGCACAATGAAGGCACTCATGTATCATGAAAGAAACAAGAAGATATTTGTTGATGCTCTGACAACCCGCTTGCCGAAAGAAGGCTATATTGTTCTGCTGTTCTTTATGATGAACGGTTGGTTTCCATGCTCTGCCATGCAGTGGACTGGAGAAAGTCGTTTAGTTCGATCAGAATATCATTGAAAGTATGAGGATGTTAAATGGTTGTTGTGAAAACGGATATGATGTATAAAATGCTCACATACACTTTACAAGACAAATACTGCACACAGAGATAGATTGTAAGTGATGACAGGATGGTGTTCTTGATGACTTGCTCCTACTTCTCGTTCTTGTCCTTTCTAATTGGACTTCAGTTCACAGAGCTCCACAAGCTTGTCCATAAGACAGCAAAGGCGAAGAAGGCGCCCAAGAGCGCGGTGGCGACTGGCCCGACTATGTCGGCATCCCAGGCTGCTTTCATTGTGAACCTGAGGAACAAGGTAGATGCGCAGTTGGATACTCTCGGGCATACATGTGAGAAGAGCTGATGATGATGAGGCTGGTGAGATGACCTGGTATGACAGGCCTCGATGGGGAGTGCGGAGGCAACTGAAGGGTCAGGAAGGTAACAAGCTGGGGTAGCTGAGTGCCGTGCGGTGAAGGCATGCAGAGCAAACTTGCTGTAGGAATTTTTTGACGATTTTGTTTGTATTTATTGATTTAATGGAAGAAGAGGGATGGGATTCTCGTTCGATCGCCTCTCGATAAGAGCAGAGTGTTGTCTTGCATTCTGAGGAGTTGATGATATAATTCAACAACGGATCCTACGAGTCCAATGCATAGAGTCCGAATCGAGAATCAGGAAATACAGATACTGATTTCGATGTCTTCGAAGGGAATACTTGTTGTTCTGAGCCAGGCCGTCTGACAAACTCGGTGCCTACATGCGATGGTGTTGTGAACAGTAAAAAAGAAGGATTCAAGGGGCTCGGACTAACTGATAGAAAAAGAACATAGACAAAGTCACACAAAATACTGTGAAAGATCATATGCTGACACGATACACAAATTTAGCTCTACAACTTAACCTGGGCATACTGGGTGACAGTACGACGCTTACAGTGAAGCACAAACTTAGAAAGTATGATTTGCCCTCGGATTAGCAACGGACATCAGCGGCTGAGTGCCTCTTTCCTGCAATGGATCCACGTCTTCTTCTTCTTTACTAACTGTCTGAGCTAGCCGTAAGGCACTGCCAGCTGCCTCGTGACTTGAACTGATCAAATTCATCTACAGGGTTCACTTACGGTTTCCGAGGCTGAGTCTCTGCGGCATTTTTCCTGAGTCCGGTGCTTTCCTATTACTCTAGTTAAGTTACTCAACAAGTTGGCGAGTTTATGAATTCGAGCTCCCCTCAGAAGAGGTATAGCAATTATCCGAGGACAGCAATTGACGTGATCGATCGATTCGATTGCAACCTTGACGTTTTTCTTCCAACGGTTGAGAGGGGGGACCGCAGTATGGAGGGGGGGAAGGGGCGGAGTATGAGGAGGAGGGAGGAGGAGGAGGATATCAACATGCTGGCGGTGGCGGAGAGGCTTCAGACTGCAAGTAGACGAGATGATGGGAAGATGCTGTCCAACGGGGTAGCGCTGGAGCTGTTTGACTTGACGGGGATGAAGACGCTAACTAGGCAGTACGAGGAGGAGCTGGACTTCTTGATGCGCGCAAGAGGCCATCCAGGGATGAAGGTGGTGGATATGAACACTCTCTCTGAGAAGAAGAAAACAGAGAAGAACAGCAAAATCACCATCACGAAACAGAGATCGTTCGATGCCCGCGGCTCAGAGGTCCATTCCGTTGATACCCTGCATGCGTCAGCGTCAGTCAAAACTGGGACTCAGGCTGTTCAGTTCTTTGCGACAGCGGATGAGAGCGAAGAGACGAAAGTGATGTTTCTCAACCGATGTGACACGGGCTTGGACTTCCGACCATATGACCTCGTCGTTGTTCCAAGAGAAGAGATAAAACAAGAGCATTTCACTATTTCAGCCTCGGGAGTTGTTCATATCAATCCTGGTGAACCTGCCCAGTTCACGCCCCTGTCAGAGTGGTGGAGAGCTTCTTCTATCTTCGGCACTCTCCGGACGATTCCATTCTTCAAGAACTACCTCGTTGCGAAAACTCGAATGCTGTGGTATGAAAACGTGAGATATAGAAAGTATTGTCAAGTTCGACGTCGTCTAGTGTCGCGGCTCTTCCTGGCTAAGAAAGCTTTCTTCTCGATCCTGATGGAGATCAACAGACAAACCTTCGACTTGAGAAACGTCAAGTTCATTCAAGTGAAGGACAAAACAACCTACTCTATCGACGACTTCGCTGAGAGTCAAACAGTGGTCAGATCGCAGGCGACCAAGGTGTTTGAGGGCATCTGCGACAAGGTTCAGACGCTCTTGGAGAAAGTCTGTGAAGACGTCTCGTCGCGTGTCAGGCAGTTGGAACTTGGCCCCAAGGAAGACGAGGAGAAGAACGCGAGTGGCAAAGTAAGAAGCAAATCCATGCAGCAGGAGAAGCAGGAGGCGATCGCAAGGCAGAAATCGTTGGCCCTGGCGCGGCAGGAGGTGGGTCTTCTGACTAACTTCATCCGGCTGGCGGACTACATGATGGTGGAAAGTTTGATGACGCTGACGGTTGAGAGCACGGAGGACTTCCTAGTGATGCTGCAGTCCAACCACAAGGTGGGAGTTTACAGCATCACGCTCAGCATGGCAAGAGGTCGAATCTTGTACTCTCCCGAGCTCTCTGACATCCAGGCGATGATGGAGATCTTCTTGGATGCGCTGCTCAACTGTGTGCAGTCAGTGCCGAGATTGTTGTACATGTCGGTATTCAAGCCTCACTTCGACGACAAAGTCATTGGGCCCAACTTGATGGACATGATTAAGACGAGTACAGTCTGGAAGCAAATCTGCAAAGAGATCGACGAGGTGATCTTGCGAGACTTCAACGACATGGTCTCCTACAGCGACTTTGCAAAGGCGTACTTCCCCATCTTCGAGTACTCCGCAGACTACGATCACGATGCGTTCAAGAACCAAGACCATCTGCAAAACAGCAGGTCGATCAAGCTTGAGATGTTGAAACTCAGAGGATGGGGAGAAGACTTGGATCGAATGAAGCTGCAGAACGTGAACGGGATCTTCCAGGTGGACAGCAAGACCCTGAAGCATTTCCTGGTGAGCGAGAAGGACAGGGTGTTGGAGGACATGAAGTCCGTGGTCCTCGAAGCTGCAAAGGAGAGCTGTGCAAAGGTGTTGTCCGACTTCCAGCAGAAAATCAAGATGCTGTCGAAGAAGCCTACCTCTCTCAAAGACTTCGCGTCCTACGTGGAAACGAAGAACGCCATCACTAACGAGCTGAAGCTGCTCATGACTTCGTCGCAGACTGTAGACGAGATGTACAAGGTGCTGGTGCAGTTTGACGTTCGGATCCCCTCAGCACAGATGGTCCTGCTTGACGACCTGCACGCCGTCAACTCGCAGTTTCAGATGCACCTGGACGGGGCAGAGACGGAAGTAAGCGGAAAGATCTCACAGATGTCATCGACCCTCAAGAGTCAGATCAACAAACTTGACGATCAGCTCATGAATATCATGGCTTCCCTGGGCTCCGGCATCGTCCTCGACCCCGAGGCCGACTGCAAGGACGTGCTGGAGTTCCTGAGCGAGTCCAAGGTAGTCATCGACGACATCAAGCTCGACGCGGAGACGTACTCGCACTATCAGAAGCTCTTCGGCCTCCCTCAGCACGAGTACGGGAACCTGATGACGGCGAGCGACATGTTCGACAAGAAGCAGGAGGTCTGGAAGACGATCAACGACTGGGAGGACAATGTCTTCGACTGGCAGTCGCAGAGCTGGTTCAAGCTGAAGCCCGACGACATGGACAAGGAGATCCAGTCGATGACGAAGCTTGCCACAAAGTTGCACAAGAGGGACAACGACGCGGTGTCAGAGCGACTGAAGCAGTCCGTCATGCGATGGAAGGGCTTCACTCCTGTCCTCGTCGCCCTCGGGAACCCAGCGCTCAAGGAGAGGCACTGGAAGAAAATCTTCGAGGCCATGCAGGTGCCGTACCAGCAGGACTTCACGCTCATGGACCTGATCCAGTGGAACGTGTTCATGATCAAGGACACAGTGGAGGAGGTGTCTGGGGTGGCATCTGGGGAGATGGCGCTGGAGCTACAGCTGCAGAAGATCGAGACGGCATGGAGCGAACTCAAGTTCCAAGTCAAGAATTACAGAGACACCAAAGATGTCTTCATTCTAGGAGGTGTTGCCTCTTCCTTCCCCCCTTCCCTCCTCCTCCTCCTCCTCCTCCTCCTCTTCCTCCTTCCAACATTCTCCGTGTTCCCCCCGTGATGCTTTCCTTGCCTCCCTTCGCTCGCTCCCTCTCTTCCTTCCTTGCCTGCCTAACTGCCTTCTCCTCTCTTTGTTCGCCTCCTCCTACCCGCCCCTTGCTCTCGCGCTCGATCGCATTGTCCTGACGCGCTTTTGCTGCAAAGGCCTCGACGAAGTCTTCGCTCAGCTGGAGGACAACCAGGCGGCGCTGCAAACGATGCTCGCCTCCCGCTTCGTGGTCGGCATCAGGGCCGAGGTGGAGAGCTGGGACAAGAAACTCTCCCTCCTCTCCGAGACCCTCGACGAGTGGCTGGCGGTACAGCGGTCTTGGATGTACCTCGAGAGCATCTTCGGCGCCCCGGACATTCAGAAGCAGCTGCCGCAGGAGACTGTTCAGTTCCTCCGGGTGGACCAGAGCTGGAAAGACACCATGAGGAAGACCAAGAAGCGGCCTAACTGCATCGAGGCCTGCACAGCTGAGGGGGTGCTGGGCTTGTTCCAGGAGGCCAATAAGGTGCTGGAGAAGATTCAGAAGAGCCTGGAGGACTACCTGGAGACCAAAAGGATGGGATTTCCCCGCTTCTATTTCCTCTCCAACGACGAGCTGCTCGAGATCCTCTCTCAGACCAGGGACCCCAAGGCGGTTCAGCCCCATCTCCGCAAGTGCTTCGACGCCATGGCGTCTGCAGACTTCGAGGAGGGGCCTCCCCTCGAGGGCCAGACCGCTCCCTCCATCCAGCTCGCTGCCATGAACAGCGCAGAGAAGGAGAAGGTCGTCTTCAGCCGCCCCGTCGCCACGGCCCCCAAGAGTGTGGAGTTCTGGATGTGCGACTTGGAGTTCATGATGCGGCAGACCCTGTTGGACTGGACCATCAAGGCGCGTGCGGCGTACAACGATGACGTCAGAGAGACTTGGTTCTTCCAGTTCCCCGCCGCCTCCATCTCCACCATCGACCAGGAGGCCTGGACGCGCCTGGCGACCGTCGCAATCACATCCATCACAGACGGCAGCAACCCCAACGGCCTGCTGGACTTCCAGAAGTACTCGATCGAGCAGATCGACAAGATGGTCGGAGTGATCCGCAACGACCTGACCAACATCCAGCGGTCAGTCATGGCAAACCTGATCGTCATAGACGTCCACGCCCGTGACGTCACCAAGAGGCTCATAGCCGACAGAGTCACCTCCGTCACTGACTTCGCCTGGATCTGTCAGCTGCGCTACTACTGGGACGAGGAGAGCATCAGTGACCAGCATGGGGTGCTGGTGAAGCAGACGAACGCCTCCTTCTTCTATGGCTGGGAGTACCTCGGCGTCGTCCCTCGCCTCGTTATCACCCCCCTCACCGACAAGTGCTTCATGACTCTTACTGGTGCCCTCAACCTCCTCCTCGGCGGAGCTCCGGCGGGCCCTGCGGGGACAGGCAAGACTGAGTCAGTGAAGGACCTCGGGAAGGCGCTGGCGATGCCTGTGGTTGTCTTCAACTGCTCTGACGGCCTCGACTACAAGATGATGGAGAAGTTCTTCGCCGGGCTGGCGCAAGCGGGCGCCTGGGCCTGCTTCGACGAGTTCAACAGGATCGACATCGAGGTGCTGTCAGTGATCGCACAGCAGATCATGACGATACAGAACGCGCTCAAGGCCTACGCCGAGCGGTTCGAGTTCTTCGGCAAGGTGATCGGGCTCAACAGGAACTACGGCTGCTTCATCACTATGAACCCCGGGTACGCCGGGAGGACGGAGCTGCCCGACAACCTCAAGGCGCTGTTCCGGCCCATGGCGATGATGGTGCCGGACTACGCGCTCATCGCAGAGATCATGCTCTTCTCCGAGGGCTTCGGCGACTCTCTCACGCTCGCTCGCAAGCAGACGGCCATGTACCGGCTGGCGTCGGAGCAGGTGTCGGCCCAGGACCACTACGACTTCGGCATGAGGGCGGTGAAGTCTGTGCTGGTGATGGCGGGGAAGCTAAAGCGAGCAGACCCAAACATGGTGGAGGACGTGACTCTCATCCGAGCTCTGCGCGACAGCAACATCCCCAAGTTCCTCTCGCACGACATTCCGCTCTTCGAGGCGATCCTCCGCGACCTGTTCCCAGGGGTGGAGGTGCCTGCCGTGGACTACGGGACGATCAAGTCGTACATCGAGCAGGAGCTGGTCGGACAGAAGCTGCAGATCATTGGGCCGTTCGTAGGAAAGATCATCCAGCTGCACGAGACCATGATAGTGCGCCACGGGATCATGTTGGTAGGGGTCACAGCCGTCGGCAAGACGACGGTGTCGACGACTCTTGCTCGCACATTCACCAAGATGAAGGAGGACGGGATCGAGCACTTCGATAGGGTCGACCGCTACACCCTCAACCCCAAGTCCATCACCATGGGAGAGCTCTACGGAGAGTTCAACCTCCTGACTCTCGAGTGGACTGACGGCATCATCTCCACCATCGTCCGAGAAGCATGCAACTCCGTGGCGGAGGGAGACACGGCCAAGAAGTGGATCAACTGCGACGGGCCAGTCGACGCCATCTGGATCGAGTCGATGAACACTGTACTAGACGATAACAAGACGCTCTGCCTCAACAACGGTGAGAGGATCAAGTTGCCCGCTACCATGTCCATGCAGTTCGAGGTCAACGACTTGGCCGTTGCGTCTCCCGCCACGGTCAGTCGATGCGGCATGGTCTACCTCGAGCCCGTCTACCTCGGATGGAAACCGCTCGTCACCTCCTGGGCCTCTTACGTCCTCGCCGAGCGATTCCCCGAGAGCGAGAGCAAGGTGCTCGAGCTCTTCGAGAAGACGGTGGATCCTGCGCTGTTCTTCGTGAGGAGGGAGTGTAAAGAGAACATCGTCTCGACCGACGTCAACCTCGTCTGCAGCATGTTCAACCTCCTCGACGCCCTCCTGCGCGACACCCACGGGGTGACGGTTGACAACTTTGACAGCATGCTGCCCAACGTCTTCGTCTTCTCCTTCGTCTGGTCCATAGGTGGCAACCTCAACGACTCCTCCCTCCCAAAGTTCAACGGCTTCGCCCGCGAGCTCCTGGCCGGCCTCGGCCTCTCCCTGCCTTCCACTCCCTCCCTGTACGACAGCAAGGTCGACGAGCAGTCGGGAGCATGGAGCCACTGGGAGCAGTCCGTCCCGTCCTTCACCTACAAGAAGGAGCTTCCCTTCTTCAACCTCATCGTCCCAACCATCGACTCAACCAGGGTCAAGTTCCTGATTCGGGCGGACATCGACGCCGGTTTTCACGTCCTCATTGGGGGAAACTCTGGCGTCGGCAAGACCGTCATGATCCAGGACTACCTCGAGAGCGCGGGAGAGAAGTTCGTGTTCCAGACCAAGTCGTTCTCAGCTCAGACCTCAGCCCGGGCCCTGCAGGCCTTCTTTGAGGAGAAGCTGGAGAAGATCAGGAAGAACCTGCTGGGCCCGCCGTCGGGCAAGAACTTCGTCTTCTTCATCGACGACCTGAACATGCCCATGACGGAGAAGTACGGGGCCCAGCCTCCTATCGAGCTGCTGCGGCAGATTATCAACGTCAAAGATGACAAGAATGGAGGGTTCTACGACCTCAAGAAGATCGGCCTCTTCAAGCGCGTCCAGCATACCCAGTTCATCGCCGCTAACGCTCCTCCCGGGGGCGGACGGTCCGTGGTCACTGCCCGCCTCCTCCGCCACTTCCATCTCATCAACATCCCGGACCTGTCCGCCTCCACCATGAAGAAGATCTTCGTCTCCATCGCCAACGGCTTCTTCGCCGACTGGCCCTCCGACTTTGCGGGGCTTGCTGAGCCCCTGGTGGAGGGGACGCTGGGGGTGTACCAGGATATTCAGCAGGCGCTGCTGCCCATCCCCTCCAAGAGCCACTACACCTTCAACCTCCGCGACCTCGCCAAGGTCATCCAGGGTATCCTCATGGTGGAGGCGAAGCACGTGGAGGACGTGAACGCGCTGCTCCGGCTCTGGTGCCACGAGAGCTCTCGAGTCTTCCGCGACCGCCTGGTGGACGAGCACGACAGGAGCTGGTACGACGACAAGCTGGTGGAGGTGCTGGAGAAGAACTTCTCCAAGGCCTGGGGGGCCAGCGCGTTCGTGGACGTGGTGTGGGGAGACTTCTTGCAAGGGGAAGGGTCGCCCTACCTGGAGATCGCAGACATGGAGCTCGCAGCCTCCAAGTTGAAGGAGTTTGCGGAGGACTACACGCTCAACCTCAACAAGCCCATGGACCTCGTCTTCTTCAAGGACGCCATCCAGCATGTCGGCAGGATCTCCCGCCTCCTTCGCCAGCCCCGTGGCAACGCGCTGCTGGTGGGAGTGGGAGGGAGCGGGAGGCAGAGCCTGACTCGGCTGGCGTCCTTCATAGCGGACATGAAGTGCTTTCAGATCGAGCTGTCGCGAGGATACGGTCTGAACGAGTTCCACGAGGACCTGAAGAAGCTGCTGATTCAGGCGGGGGCGGAAGGAAAGCCGACGGTCTTCTTGTTCACGGACACACAGATCGTGAAGGAGAGTTTCTTAGAAGACATCAACAACATCCTCAATGCTGGTACATCCTTCCTTCCTCCTTCCCTCATCCTCACCCTGCATGAATGCTGCTCCTGCTCCTGCTCCCGCTCCCGCTCCCGCTCCTGCTCCTGCTCCTGCTCCTGCTCCTGCTCCTGCTCCTGCTCCTGCTCCTGCTCCTGCTCCTGCTCCTGCTCCTGCTCCTGCTCCTGTTCATCTCCTCCGCACTCTTTCCTCTCCCTCTCCTCTTCTTCTTCTCTCTCAGTTTGTTGTTCCTCATCTCACAAGTCTTATTCAGGTGAAGTACCCGACCTATTTGCAAACGATGAGATGAGCAAGATCATTGATGCTGTTCGTCCCAAGGCAAAGGCTGCCGGCAGGTGAGACGCGTCAATGATGATGACGATGATGATCACGATGACGATGACGATGATGATGATGATTGCAAGGCTGGAGACAAAGGACTCTATCTATTCCTACTTTGTCCAACTTTGTCGAGAGAATCTTCATTGCGTCCTTGCTTTCAGGTGATTTGAACGCCCTTTTCTTCTCTATCTCTCCTCGCTTTCTCTCTCTTCCTCCTCCTCGCCCTCCTCTCTTCATCTTGCCTCCTATCTTCGGCCACCACAACCAGCTTTCCTTCGCTCCTCACTTCTCCTCCTCTCTTGCTGATCTTCCGTCAGTCCCGTCGGAGATTCATTCAGGAATCGCCTCCGCATGTTCCCATCGCTCGTCAACTGCTGCACCATCGACTGGTTCATGTCATGGCCCGAGGACGCGCTCATATCCGTTGCTAAACAGTTCCTTGCCAAGGTGAACTCCCCGCATGCATCTCCTTCTCCCCTTGCTCCTCCTCCTCCTCCTCCTCCTCCTCCATCGCCCTCTCCCCCTCCCCCTTCTTCCTCCTCTCCCCTTCCTCCTCCTCTTCCTCTTCCTCCTCCTCTCCCTTCTTTGCCCCCCTCTCTTCCTCCTCTTCCTCCTTTATCTCCTTATTGTCTTCTTCCGCTACATCTACTACCACCTCCTCCTACATCTCCCTCCCTCACGACATCATCGTGAAACTTGCTCTCTCTCCCGTCCTCCTCTTCACCATCCTGCAGATCGATCTCGGCAGCACGGCTATCAGGAACGCCGTCTGCAACGTCTGCATGACCATCCACTCCTCCGTGCGCAGCTGCGCCGCCAAGTTCCTGCAAGAGCTTAGGAGGCACACCTACACCACTCCCACCAGCTACCTTGAGCTGATCAACATGTACACGTCGATGCTGGAGCAGGAGAGGAAGACCATCAACGACAAGGTGGAGCGCTACCAGAGCGGATGCGACAAGCTGGAGGCGACCAACGCCATGGTGTCGCAGCTCCAGGCTGAGATCATCAAGTTGCAGCCCGTGCTGGAGGTTGCGGGGAGAGAGACGACGGAGCTGATCAGTGTCGTCACCAAGGACAAGGAGGCGGCTGCTGTGGTGCAGGCCAACGTGGAGCAGGAGGCGACCAAGGTGAATCAGGCGACGAAGGAGGCAAATGCGATCAAGGAGGACGCACAGAAGGACCTGGACGAGGCTCTTCCTGCCTTCGACTCTGCGGTGAAGGCGCTCAAGGCGCTGAACAAGAACGACATCACGGAGATCAAGTCGTTCAGCAAGCCGCCGGAGATGGTGCAGACGGTGATGGAGGCTGTGTGTATCCTCAAGGGAGTGAAGCCCAACTGGGACGAGAGCAAGAAGGTGGGTGATCATTATCATGATGAAAAGGAGGAGGAGGAGGAGGAGGAGGAGGAGGAGGAGGAGGAGGAGATTGGTATATGACCTTACGTGATATGATGCTGCAGCTGCTGAACGACAACAACTTCCTCGTTGGTCTTGAAACCTATGACAAAGACAATATCTCGGAAAAGATCATCCGCGGGCTTCAGAAATACATCAACAACCAAGATTTCGTGCCTGATAAGGTAAGATGAAGACAGATGAAATAGCAGGAGAAGCAAGGGATCAATGGAATACAGATAGTGATGAGACAGAGGGAGGGAGGGAGGGAGGGAAGGTGGGAGCGAGACAGAGCGGAAGAGAGAAGGGAGAGAGGGAGGAAGGAAAGGAGCACAGGGACGAGGACGAGGACGAGGATGAGGACGAGGACGAGGATGAGGACGAGGACGAGGACGAGGACGAGGACGAGGACGAGGACTTAGATGTTCGCAGGTCGAGAAGGTGTCCAAGGCCGCAAAGTCTCTCTGTATGTGGGTCAGGGCCATGGACGTGTACGCGCGAGTCGCCAAGAACGTCGAGCCGAAGAAGCAGAAGCTCGCAGAAGCTGAGAAGCAGGTGGGGAGCAGCTGGGCTGGTTGCCTGATGGACGGTCTTGTCCTTGCTGAACAGGTTCTGTAGGTGGCGGAGATGAGCAAACTGTTGGCGGCGAAGCAGAATGAGCTGCAGACGGTGCTGGATCGAGTGAGGGAGCTGGAGAACAAGCTGTCGGAGACGCTGAAGAAACGAGACGAGCTGCAGCAGCAGTCGGACGAATGTCAGGCGCGTCTGGGTCGAGCTGAACAGCTCACGGGTGAGAAGATCCGAGAGATTTGGCAGTTGATGATGATGATGATGATGGTGATGAGGATGATGATAAGGACGATGATGATGATGATGATGATGAGAACAATGATGATGATGATGATGAGAACAATGATGACAACGATGATAACGATGGACGATCAGGCGGCCTTGCAAGTGAGCAGAGGAGGTGGACGGCGGAGCTGAAGCAGCTCAACCAGGACAAGATCGATCTCATTGGCAACATCCTCCTCTCCGCCGGCTCCATCGCCTACTCGGGGCCCTTCACCTCCACCTTCCGGCACCAGCTCATCCAGGAGTGGGTCGCCTCTTGCAAGGAGTATGAGATCCCCGTCGACAACCATTTCACTCTCGAGCGCGTCCTCGGGGACCCTCCCGAAGTCCGTCAGTGGAACATCCAAGGGCTGCCTGCTGACCCTCTCTCCGTCGAGAACGGCATCATCGTAACCCGCGGCCGTCGCTGGCCTCTAATGATCGATCCGCAGACGCAGGCGAACAGGTGGATCAGAGCGATGGAGAAGAAGAACAGGATCCAGGTGATCAAGCTTACTGAGAGCACCTACCTCCGCACCCTCGAGAACTGCATCCGGGTCGGCAACCCCGTGCTGCTGGAGAACGTGGAGGAGAATCTCGACCCAGCTCTAGAGCCCGTGCTCTCCCGCCAGGTCTTCAAGCAGCAGGGTCGCCTCCTTATCCGCCTCGGTGACACGGACGTGGACTACAGCCCGGACTTTCGCTTCTACGTTACTAGCAAGCTGCCGAACCCCCACTACCCCCCCGAGATCTGCGTCAAGGTGACGGTAGTCAACTTCACGGTGACGCCCAAGGGCCTCGAGGACCAGCTGCTGGTGCAGGTGGTGGCGCACGAACGGCCGGAGCTCGAGGAAGAGAAGAACAACCTCGTGCTGCAGATCGCGACCGGGCAGAAGCAGCTCAAGGACATCGAGGACAAGATCCTGCACATGCTCGCCGTGTCGCAGGGGAACATCCTGGACGACACAGAGCTCATCGAGACGCTGGGAGCGAGCAAGACAACGTCGGTCGAGATCAATTCCCAGCTCGCCCAGGCCTCGGAGACTAAGACGAAGATCGACACAGCATGTGAGGGCTACCGGCCCGTGGCGAAGAGAGGAGCGCTCCTGTACTTCGTGGTGGCAGACCTGGCAGGGATCGACCCCATGTACCAGTACTCCCTCCAGTTCTTCGTGAAGCTCTTCAACAGCTCTATGGACCGAGCGGCTCACAGTGAGGACCTGGAGGAGAGGGTTCAGACCATGATCCGCGTTATCACCGAGGACGTGTACACTCAAGTGTGCCGGGGGCTCTTCGAAAAGGACAAGAAACTTTTCTCGTTCCTCATCACCGTCCAGATCCTCCGGATGGAGCAGGAGAGCATCTCCGACGGAGAGTGGTCCTTCTTCCTCACCAAGGGAGGCTTCGTGGACGAGAACGACCTCCCTCTGAACCCGGCAGAGGACTTCATCAACAAGACAGTGCTCGGAGGGCTCAAGAACCTCGACGCGATCCCGACGTTCCACGGGGTGCTGGACAGCTTCAGGCAGGAGACGGAAGCATGGAGGGAATGGTGTCAAAACGACTCTCCTCAGGACCTGAAGCTGCCAGCTGGATGGGGGGAGCGGCTAAACGCCTTTCAGCAGCTGATGCTCATGCGAGTGCTGCGCGACGAGAAGGTCGTGGCGGCGGTAACGATCTTCATCCTCAACAACGTGGGGAAGTTCTTCGTGGACGTGCCCGCCTTCGACCTCGCGTCCTCGTACAAGGACTCCTCTCCCCTCATCCCCATCATCTTCGTGCTCTCGACGGGAGCAGACCCGACGCTCTACCTGCAGAACCTGGCCAGGGACATGGGCTTCTTCGAGCGGCTGAAGATGATCTCGCTGGGGCAGGGGCAGGGCCCCATCGCTGAGTCGCTCATCTCCATGGGGAGGGAGGGAGGAGACTGGGTGTGCCTGCAGAACTGTCACCTTGCTTCCTCGTGGATGCCTGAGCTCGAGAAGCTGCTGGAGAGCCATCAAAGCCTCAAGCTGCACGAAGACTTCCGGCTGTGGCTGACCTCGATGCCCTCCAAGGTGTTCCCAGCTAGCGTCCTGCAGTCTGGGATCAAGCTGACCAACGAGCCTCCCAAGGGGCTGAGAGCGAACCTGAAGCGAACGTACGAGGACTTGACGGAGGAGGAGTTTGAATACTTCGACGTCAAGGAGGGCCTTGAGGACAAGGACAACAAGAGTCGAGCATGGAAGAAGCTGCTCTTCGGCCTGAGCTTCTTTCACGCGAGCATTCAAGAGAGGAGGAAGTACGGAGCCATCGGCTGGAACATCCGGTACGAGTGGAACCAGTCGGACCTGCTCACCGCCATGGCGAACTTGCGCATGTACCTGGAGGAGCAGAGCGAGGTCCCGTACGAGACTCTGAGATATGTGGTGGGAGATGTCAACTACGGAGGAAGAGTGACGGACTACATGGACCAGCGATGTGTTGCTGCTATCCTGAGCACCTACTTCTGCGACGAGGCTGTCCGCGACGACAACTACAGGTACACCGAGGATGGCAAGTACTATGCCCCCGTACGAGGAGGCATCGAGGACACTCGGGAGTATGTCGACAACCTGCCCTTGCTCGATCGCCCCGAAGTGTTCGGCCTCCATCGCAACGCGGCCATCGCCTTCGAGAACAGCGAGACCAAGTACTTTGTGGAGACGATCATCTCCATCCAGCCTCGCAGCGGGGGAGGAGGAGGAGGCAAGTCGACGGATGAGATCGCTGCCGAGCTAGCAGCGGATCTTGCGAGCAAGCTGCCTGCGGTAATGGAGAGAATCTTTGTGCTTCAGCCCTGACTCGTTCCTCTTGCAGGCGCTGACCGACAAGAACGCGGCGGAAGCAACCTTCGTCAAGGACAAGAACGGGGCCATGAACTCTCTGGGAACCTTCCTGCAGATTGAGATGGGCAAGTTCAACAAGCTGCTCAAGGCCATGTCGACGTCTCTCGACGAGCTTCAAAGGGCCATCAAGGGTACCATAGTCATGTCAGCGCAACTGGACGCCATGTATCAGGCTCTCATCTTCCAGCGGGTCCCCGACGTCTGGTCCAACGTTGGGTACCTCTCCCTCAAGCCCCTCGGCTCCTGGATCAAGGACTTCACGCAGAGGATGGACTTCATGTCCAGGTGGATCGAGCACGGACCCCCGGACGCCTTCTGGATGTCGGCCTTCTTCTTCCCGCAGGGCTACATGACCGCAGCGCTGCAGATGTACGCGAGGAACACCATGATAGCCATCGACACCCTCGACTTCCGCACTCAAGTCCTCGCCATCACTCCCGAAGAAGTCGTCTCCAGCCCCAAGCAGGTGAGCCTCCTCCTGACCTCCCCCAGCAGGAGCTCATGGTGGTGCAGGGCGTCTACTTCTATGGCTCCTTCGTGGAGGGCGCGAGGTGGGATAGCAAGACAGGCTCGCTGGAGGAGAGCCACGTCGGGGAGACTCACGTGTACATGCCTGTCATCTGGCTCGACCCCATAGTCAAGGACGACTCCTACGGCCGCGAGCCCGGCACGTACAACTGCCCCTTCTACAAGGCAAGGGAGGAGCTGAGAAAGCAGAGAGACTGACTGCCCCCTTCAGGTCTCCTCGCGTGCTGGGACGCTCTCCACGACCGGTCACTCCACCAACTACATCAGAAGCCTTCAGCTCCCGGCTGGCAACAGCTCATCAGAGCACTGGGTGAGAAGGTCCGTAGCGCTGCTGTCGTCGTTGGACGACTAGCGCCGAGTGGAGCGCGAAGATTTGCCGAGTAAACAAAGACATGTAGCGATCAAGGTTGCTTTCCCAACAAGTTGCCTGTCGATCTGTGCTTCGATTCCATCACGAAAGCCTTGTCTGTGGGAGAGGTCAGGCTGAGAACAATCATATCCAAGCTCTCACTGTTCTTGGAGGCAAGTTTCCTCCCCCGACTGATCCACAAACCAATCAACGCGTGAGAGCTGAGAGTGAAGCAGCATGAATCTCACATCTCTTCCAACTCCTTGCGGTCCAGCTCCATCTTCTCCATCGTCTTCGACAACTTGTAGTCGTCTATCGCCATCTGCAAGATAGACACTCCCCTGACAAGCTTCCCGTCACAGAGTGTTCTGATGGTCATCAACTGATCTCACCGTCGCTGCAGGTAGTGAGGGGTGCAGTCTCTGACCCTCTTGGGACTCACGTCATGACAGCTGCTCCCTTGCTCTGAGCGCATCGGACTAGAACGCTCTAGCCCGAGATATCAGACGAGTGGAGAAAAGTTTGCTCACACCTGTGAGACTCGATCGGCTCGTGTCTTGTAGGTTTGAGTACATCTGCTGGATTGTGTTCCTGTTATCCTCGTCATCGTCGTCAAGAGTTTGCGCATGCGCAGCACCCAGGAGACAGCCTGCTGTTGCTCAGCCTCCAGCTTGCATGTCCGTTTTGAGCTGAAGCTTGAACGGCTCTCAGGTCAGCTGGAGGGGCCTGCGACTTGTCGTGTCACATGTTACAACAAGCGCTTCATTCTCCTCACTCGATTCGCAAGGAGTTTGCCGGCAGTGTTGAAGAACGCGTCCCATGGCGGCTTTGAGGGCGACGACGAAGACACGGTCAGGCGCGAGAGCTTTGCAGTCTGCTTGCTTCAGTCACTGAAGGCAGCAGCAGCAGCAGCAGCAGCAGCAGCAGCAGCAGCAGCAGCAGCAGCAGCAGCAGCAGCAGCAGCAGCAGCAGCAGCAGCACACTTTGTTGTTCCCGGGCGTGCTTCCTGCTGTGAGATCCTGACGGCTGGACATGACCTGGGACCTCGTCAGGAAGACGAGAGCGTCTCTTGAAGTTGCAAGTACATCCATGAAGGGCGAATGGCTCTGCATGCACTCCCTCCTTGTAACGATCACATGTGGGTGTAAAGACTTTCTCTTTGTGTTGAGACTGTTGAGAATCAACGCTGAGGGCAGCGATCAACGATCGAATGCATGCAGGACAAATACAAGTGGAGGATTCGAGATGGAGCATGGAGATAGGCAGAGGTCAAGCAGGAGAAAATGAAGCATCAGGTCACAGACCATCTCTCTCAACCAAAGTGCCGACATCCCTCAGGTTGTAAAGGTCCTTGGATGTGATCTTCATCACATTCATTTCCTGCGTGACAGCAAAGTCAAGAGCCCAATCCAAACAGTCACAACGTACTTCGATGTCTTTGTTTTTCCCTGCTGTATTGAAAAATTTGCTCCGAAACAATCTTCTAACTTCCTCGCGTATCTGAAGCAAGTGGAGCATCACTGTAGCTACATTCGAGGTGCAACTTGCAGCAGTACGTGAAGTTGATACGCTGAGGGGTAAGTCTGACAACAGATATCTACTGAGGTGAGTTGAAGAATCTCGAAAAACGCTCTCTCTCTGCTCAAGTTTCTGCAGCACAAGTGTTCACAATGTTCACACTGACAGAAGTAGGCAGCACTTGGTGTCGCTGTATCTCAGAACAATGGTCCGGTAGGAAGTAGAGAGAGATTCGACGATCTCCTGCTCTTTGGCATGGTGGACTGACCCGCTGATCTCCCACAGCTCTGACGAGGAGCATGTGAGCTAGGAGCATCATGAAAGGGATCACCTTCAAACGGAAAGTCCTGTCGTTCGTCATCGATCCACATGCTCTTCTTCTCATCAAGGAGGCTGATACACCAACATGTCACATCGACCAGCATCGCAAGTACTTGTTCAACTTCATCAGCTGCTGTCTGACAGCATCCAGGTGTAGGTAGTCCACCAGCGAGGGAAAGAACTCGTCAGCGAGCGGCATGTTGCCAAACTTGGAGATGAAGTTCTTGACCTGACCACGACTGTCAAGGACTGAGAGAGGACAGTTGCAGATAACGTCGTCGTGAGTGATTCCTCGCTGATGCAGGACGACGTCGTAGATCCGGGATGAAAGCTGTATCAGCAGGTTCAGGAGAAGAGGAGGAGAGGAGGAGAGGAGGAGAGGAGGAGAGGAGGAGAGGAGGAGAGGAGGAGAGGAGGAGAGGAGGAGAGGAGGAGAGGAGGAGAGGAGGAGAGGAGGAGAGGAGGAGAGGAGGAGAGGAGGAGAGGAGGAGAGGAGGAGAGGAGGAGAGGAGGAGAGGAGGAGAGGAGGAGAGGAGGAGAGGAGGAGAGGAGAAAAAACAAGAAGACCAGGTTATCCTTGATCTCTATCCACACTCGACTCCCAAAGGTCAAGTCAATCTCTCGCTTGTCACTTCTTCCCAACGTCTGCGCGGCAGTGACGGTCGTATGGCGATCACTGACGCTCAGGCTCTCTGCGCTGCCTTCTTGGTAACTCGAGCTCTTCCTGGACAGCGACATCCTCCACTAGTGTCGGCGTCTCCCTTGCTGTGGAGCATGCAGCATGGTCTCAACGCTCGTCGATCACATCATCTAATGTCTGTCGCATGTCGCTCCTCGCGCGCATCGCTCAGCAACTTCGTAAGAGCCTCCGACCATACCGGTGTGCGGTTGCCATGGCAGGCTCAACTCTCCAACGGGGCGGTACTACGGTACGGGGATAGTCAGGCGGGCCGGCCAGGGCCAGGCACCGGAGGCCCGAGTGACTGAGACATTGAGTTCTCAGCCTGCCAGGCTGTGAGTGACAATCGACCAGGCTTTACTCAAAGTTAAGTTAAAAATCAGTACGAGGACAATCGGATGATCAGGAGAGTCGAGGAGGCTTCGGACCCTGACACTGTCGCCGCGGCACAGGCCAAACGGCGAGCCTGACTGAGAGAAAAGACAGCGAGAACCAAACCCAATCCTGCCGCCGGACTGCTGCCCCCCAAGTTAACCGTGATACCAAGTTCACAGTCCCCCGCGCGGCCCGGCCATGCCCGGCATCGCTCAGTGCCACGGGGCATGGCCGCGCTTTTTAACTTAACTTTGAGTAAAGAAGGACAATCCCGGCCCATGCCGGGGCCCGGTACCAGGCCGGGCCGCCCGGCGCCCCCGATCGATCGGACCATCAAGTCACGGTCAGTGACTGAGAGTTTGCGCAATTGCGACTCCGAGGCGGGCTGTGCCATGATAAAGATTCTGCCACTTTGCCTTCGGCGCGCGGAGCGGTAACTTTTCAAATTTTGTTATCAAATTTGAAAATTCAGAACAGCCAACCAAAAGCTTCACCTGAATTCGGACACGAACCAAAAACGAAAAAGATTTGGTTTCCACCGGACTCCGATTGGTGCGGACAGACACCTGCCTAAGCAGTTCCTAGGACCCTGGTGGTAGAGCTGCCTAGTGGACAGTCCAGCCCAACATGGCAGCCAGACAGGAGCGGAGGGAGTGAAGGACAAGGCAGGAGAGGATAGCGTGCGAGTTTTTGACAGGACAGGACAGGATATGACAGTGTAAGATAGACGAGGTGAGGAGAAGACCCGAGAGGAGAGGAGAGGAGAGGAGAGGAGAGAAGAGAAGGAGGGGGGGAAGGAGTGAGGCGAATAACAGAAACAGGGCAGAGAGAACAATAGAAGAGCAGTAGGTGTAAGTGGATAGACAATTGAAGTGGACAGAGCTGATTCTGTGGGACACTTTACAAAAAGTATCAAGGCGCGAAGAGATTTCAAGCTTTTGATCACTTTGCGAGGATACCCGGAAGCATTCCTTGTACAACCCTAGGACTGAAATATCCTTGTACCATGGAAGAGAAGACGGAAATGGTGTACACACCCTTTAGTGGGATAGCTTCAAGCATGAGTTTTACGCCAGATTGTTCTTGGCAGTCACCGCTCCAGCTGTATTCGCAGATAAATCAGTTTCAGCCAAGCTTGCCACTACCGGTACATTACAGTGAACCAAGTTCGGTTGTGCAGCCGTTGCAATCCATATCGCAGGTATTTGGTTCATCAGGAATAACTCTTGCACCACCACTCTCTATCCCTGCAAAGGCTGCGAAAGAAACCCACTGGCTGCCTGCTCTAGAGCCCTATTCGACACCATCAGCTGCTTTTCAAAGTGAGATCAATGATGCTTTGATTCTGCTGCCTGTGCCAGAATTGGTCACCCCTCCTGACTCTGATAGCGCTTCTCGCTTCGACAATATTGAAACCAGTCTGAGCTCTGATGACGGGCTTCCATTCGGCCTAGAAGAGCTGGACAAAACTCACGTGTTTGATGTTGGCGATGAGAAAGCGCTCAGGAAGCGTCTGCGCAGGCCTCACTCCCGTTTGCAACATCATGGCGCCTGCTACCAGTGCAGAAGGAAGAAATGGAGGTGCTCGAACAATCGCCCATGTGAGAAATGTATCGTCTACGGGACAGCTCAGTCATGTGACCAACCAGACTCCGCCCGTTACGTTGAACGCCCTATCTCTTCGAGAATGTGCATCGAGATCCAAGACGATGTCTATGCGAACATGGTAGCACTGAAAAACGCGTCAGTGTCGGAGGGAGTCAACTTTGCGCTCGTGCGCATCACGTGGGAGATCGGTATGAGTGTGAATCAAGTGCTGCAGGCCTTCAGGTTCTTGCCGCCCAACGCCAAGAAAGTGATCGATGAGTCCATACAGGCAGTCCAGGCGCATGCGCAGAAAACTCTAATGAAGCGACAGTCATGCATGACCACTCTCAAAGAACTCGTCGCCAAGCAGGAAGTTGGCCGCATCTCGGCTTTGGGGGAACATGGGGCTGTGGACGACCCGCCAGAAGCCTCGGACGAGCGTTGGGGCCACGGGCGGTGGTTCTCCATCGAGTTCGACAAGAACACCGCGACAAGAAAGTACTGCAAGGTTGGGTCAGAGTGCGCAGAGCTGCAGGGATATCATCCTGAAGAATTTCTGTCGCGTTTCGCCGAAAACAATCTTCCTATCCACACCACACAGTTCGACATGCTGTGTATCGCCATGGATACCATCTGTCGGTATCAGGAGAACAGGCTGGTGAAGTACTGGAGGCTACAGAAGCACACGGACGACCCTCAGGTCTTCAACACTGTTTTTGTGCGCTGCAGCATCATCCGAGACTTCGATGCTATGGGAAGGAAGATTCGAACTTCGCTAGTTTACGACTACCTTGACGAGAAAGAGTACGAGAGGCTATCAGAGAAGGCTCACGAAAAGGGAAGTGAAGACGATCTGCTGGCGATCTCGCTGCTCCCAAAGCGATCCTTCAAGGACTTCATTTCAGAACACAAACGCGAGCTGCAGTTTTCTGGCAAACTGTTGGACATGCGTAAGAAGAAATCAGGCAAAGAGAAGCTGGATGATTTCGTGAATCGGTTGCAGCGAAATGTCAAGAGGCTGATGGCTGATTGAATAGAAACTAGTCGCACTTGACTTACATGTCTTGGATAGAATGATTTACACTAAGAGATTAATATATATACCACAATGTTCAAGATTTTTTTTATTTGGTATCAATCACCCCTTCACTCATTATATGCAGCATTTCGCCTATTCCCTACCCAGCGTGCCTGCTCTCGGAGCTGATGCTCTTCGCGGCATCGTGAACACATTTGAAGACATCCCTGGATTCTCTCGGAATCTCCTCTAGACGGTACAAGAATTTATCCTTCCTGTCTTTGTGTCCTGGGAACAGGCGCGGGCTAGCCACCCTCCATCGCTCGTACATGAGCATCATACGGGCACGATGGAAGACCCACCGCCTGTTCTTTCCTTCACAGTCTCGCTTGTAACGGGAGTTCATCATCGCAATCAGCAGGTTCATGATGAGGATTCTGGAGAGGATTACCCAAATCACCTCGAGCGTGACCGCGAGATTCCTGTCCTGGGAGTGCAGGGCGAGCACGTGAAAGTACATGTAAGCGTCCCCCAGCGAGTTCCATACGAGAGCCCAGGCGGTGGCCAATGGGTTTCTTGTGTAGTCGAAGTCGGTTGAATACCTGAGTTGCCAGCTGCTGCTGTTTTGAAACATGAGGTAGATAGCGGCAGTGAAGCCGAACATGAAGATCAAGTAGACGATGAGACAAATGAGAACGTCTTGAAACATGATGTCCTCCATGATCATCACAAGCTTGCCCACTGGATGGTATGGTATGGCAACGTAGAGTAGGGTGAGAAAGGAAAAGAGAGCCGCCAACGAAAGGAAACTGAGCTCAACCTTGTAGTTGCCTACCTCTTGCAAGCCGAAGGACGTCAGGACCGTTGTGGCTGTGAGTATACACAACAATGAGAGCATGTTCTTCTGCAGCAGTTGGCTCAAGCACTGTAGCAGTTTCCGCTCTTTCGGCTTCGCTCCCCGAAGCAGCAATGAGTCCAAGCGCCTCGAGGACAAACCATACACCAGCAGACAAACACTGAAGAAGACAAGAATGATACTGACAATTCTTGTTTGAGCGTCTGGAATACTTGATACATCACCAATCGGAGCACCAGACAGCGGAAAGAAGTTAGAACGGAAAGCAGAAGTCCGCAAGTGAAGCAAGTAGCAGAACAGAGCCAGGTAGATAATGTATGGAAGCAGCACGAAAAAGAAAAATATATGCCTGCATGATTTCCATTTGTTCGTGAGCAATTCTTCAAACACGTGGTCATCACAAAACTCTGCAAGCTCGAAGTTCACGATAATTTCAAACACGCTCTTCCATTTGTCGTGTTGGTGTAAACTGGAGACCTCCTTGTCATCCGAAGAGTTCTTCACACCATAGTTGTCCAGCTGTTCACAGCTGACCTTGGTGTAGCGCTTAGCCCCGAACCGCCATTCAGTCTTCTTCATGTGCTGATCAACGATGTATTGATAAGTTCGGACCTGACCATGACGGACAGCGAGAGTGAAAGGGGTGTAGCCTGCATCATTCAGAGTGCACAAGAGCTTTGACACATAATGTTCTTGCTCTCCTGTTTGACGACTCTCCCGGCTCTCCGCAGAGCCACCTTGTAATCCCTCTTGTGACTTTTGACCCTGTAGTGCTGATCCATCTTCGCTGCGAGAAGCTTGTTGTGTTGGAACTGCCGAACTCTCACCTTGTTGATCGTGATTCTGCCCTATTTCAGCCACCCCTACTTCCCTGCCTGTGTTGGTGGAGTTCAGCTTTTCTTGTTTCTCCTTTTCCTTTTCAGCTTCTTTTAGCTCATGTTCTTTTTTGAGGAGGAAGTCGATCATGTCTTCGTGACCATGAAGTACAGCTATATGCAGCGCATTGTTCCCACTGCTGTCAACTTGAGTCAAAACTCTCCACTGCACGTCATTACTTAGCCTTGCAAATATCTTGTTGCAGATTTCCACGTTTCCCTGGCTTGCTGCAAACGATAAAGGGAACTCTCCGAAGTAGGCGAATGATTGACTGTAGGAATGTATGTTCACGATTGCATCACAACCGTAGTCCTCATGCGATCTGTCGATTCCGAGGATACCGAGCATCCATCTCTGAAATGTGGTGATCTGTGCTTTTTTTCTCATCACCAAAGGCTGAAAGAAGAGTCCAGTGGCTTTTAGCCCTAGCAGGATCTCAAGTTTATCGCCTGCTTTCTTGAGAATCCCGTCGATGCTCTTGCAGTCGTTGTTTGCTATGCAGATATGCAAGATGCTCTCCCCGGTGTAAATGCCCAGGTCCTGTGGCTGCCCTCTTGGCCCGTCATGCTCATAGCAACACTCAAGCAGTGCGGTCAACTCGTCGAAATTGAACGCTTGATCCATGATCCTCCGCTGATTTGGATGTCCATATGCCAGCAAGAACACAAGGTGCACCGGGTGTTCGCCCATCGGGCCTCGGGGAGAGCTTTGTTCGCTATGGCGGGGAGAGCTTTGTTCGCTATGGCGGGGAGAGCTTTGTTCGCTATGACGGGGAGAGCTTTGTTCGCCGTGAGCAATCAAGTGGCGAAGCTTTTCTTTGATCTGACTGTCATCCACGGCGGCAAGCAGCTTCTTCATATTCTTCCACGCCGGTGTTTCATGCTGCTCCGCTCGTCGCTCTACTCTCTCCACGTCGAGCCGAGGGTTGAGGTAGCGGGACTCGAGTTCACTCTTGCTTGTACTTGTCCATCCCTTCACGATTAGACTTCGCCTTTCACGTTCCATCCTCCCTCCTCTCTCTATCGCTGCCTGCTTCCACGTCCCTTGTCTCCTGCCGCTTCTCTTCCTCCCCCCCCCCAACTGTCGGGGATGTTCGCCAGGATGTTGGCTACATCTGTGGATTGCTCGCCCCCCTATTCTCAGAAGACGAAAAATTACTGTCTTTTTATTTATATTAATGTCATTCCGAGGCAGACTCACTTACATAGGAAAAATATCCCATTGCTGCATTTTTATAATTATTTGTATTCTCGAGATGAACCTGCTGATAGGCAAATTTACTAAAAATAAACTGCAATTAGATCCGTTCCAGTACCATTGGCAAAATATGGATTTAATTTTGTATTATATTATATCTACATTACTGGGAGAGTTGCATTTTCAGGTACTGTTTCCACCACACTGTGTACAAATATCCTTCTACACAATTATGACTTAAATATATATAGAAAGATAAAACAATACGATCAATACGAACTTGTTTTTTAAACTAAAAGTCGTGCCGCGGTCGAGGTGTCTAGTTGGTTTATGGCCTCTGCGCAGGAGAGGGGCCGGTGGCGGGAGCAGGAGGATGGAGACGGAAGGAGGAGGAGCGAGAGCAGAGGAACGTAGAGTCTCTGTTAGGAGAGGACGAAAACAGACCCTTCTCAAGGAGTTGCGGTGAATTGAAGAGGCAGGGAGGAGACAACGGGTGGCTGGCAAGGGCTGGAGCCTTCACGGGGTGGTTTGATCCTCCGTGCTGAACCTTGGAAGACGAGGGAGGGAAGAAGCTGAGCCGGACAAGCAGATATAAGAAGAGTCTGCTTTCAAACAAACACATCAAAACCGTGCAGCAAGGATTGTCCGCTTCTTCTCAGCTTGAACAAAGCACATTGCCCGGTTTCTTTGTTTCTACGATTCCACTGAAGTCTGCGACAATACGTCTTGAAAGACTTTCTCAATAAAGAAAATAGGAAATTGAGAATTTGATTTCCTTGTTGGGCCCTCCACGAATACGTTATAGGTAGAGCGACCCTGTTGAAACGTGATTGAAATGCAACAGCTTTTACTGTGTACCGAAGACATTTGATTCGGAGTCCGTAACCTGTTGCATCTACATCATCAACCTGCGCTCAACGACTTAAAGAATTTGTGAGGGTGAGAATCGTGTGAAGCTGCGCATTGAGGGACTCCGAGCTTTGCTGGTTCCTGGACAAGCAATCAATTCGCGTTGACTGCGTCGACGAACTTGTGTTGGATTCAAGTCAGTGTTGAGAATGTCGTCAGTAGTGCATTTCCAGTTTCGGAATGCTCTTCTCTCCGACTCGGTTGCTTTCGAAGGGGATCATGTGAGCCTGAGAGATTTGAAGCTCTTGATAGCGAAGAAGAAAGGACTTTTAAAGGCTTCTGATATTGATTTTGTCATCACGAATAAACAGACAGGAGAAGGTCAGTTTGATTTGGCATGTTCATAGCGGAACTGACAGCCATTCCTGATGTCAGAATACACTGGAGAAGATACTTTCGTACCCAAGAACACTTCAGTGCTTGTGAAACGAGTCAATGCAAAAGCTCAACCTCAAGCCTTGAAAGACAACTCCAAACCCCCCACGTGATTGATTCTTGCATCGAATCTATCATTAGATCTGACTGCATTTTTCTCGTCTTGGTTTACTTGCAGTGTCGCGCCTGTCATTTCAACAACGGCGCCTCCTCCCTTCTCGACGCAGATCGCTCAATCGGTGAGACGAATTATCTTTTTTGACAGTTTCTCGGACTTGACACTGGTGACCCTTGGCTTTCTTTAGAATGAAGAGAAGAAGGCAGCTGATGATTCCACTGAAGATGAGGAGGCGAAGTTGATAGCAATGATGGAAGAGCAAAATGCTGAATTTCAGAGGTATATGTAATGCTTACTTGGTTAATCTTAACTTTATTCCTCAAAGAGCACAGCACCAACGGCGACAGATGCAACAACTTGGTCCGGCTCAATCGAGATTTGGTAAAAGTTTGCCGCGATCCCTGGAAATCGTGACACCTATGTTAGGCCAGCCAACTGCTGCAAAGCCTCCGCCGTATTATTTGTGCGACAGATGCAAACAAGCCGGCCACTGGAAGAAAGACTGTCCTACCATTGGTGATCCTGCGTATGATCAGAAGAAGACAGCCGTTGGAATCCCGATCTCCAGGACACGCGTCATCACAGAAGCAGAAGCCGCAAATGCTACCGAAGGTGTCATGCGACTACCGGACGGCCGTTTGGTTCAATGCATGCCTAACGAGTACGTGACAAAACTTGAACTTTGCTCGTATTCAATTCAATACAAGCCTTTGTTGAGGATTTGATCCTGTAGACTTCATATTTGTTTGTTTGAGTATGCACGTTTGACAGATTTGAATGACTTTGTACTTGTTAATGATGTTGCATCATGTTTTTGGAAGCATTTCGTTTGTTTTCCTTTGTTCTCTGTTGTTCAAAATCGGCAGCAATTCAGATATGCTTTGTTTTGACCGATCACAGGTTTGTGGGAGTACACTGACAGGTTCTTTCTCGGCAGAGCGGATTTTGACAAAGCAATTGCGAAAGGAAGTTCATCTATTGTTGTGCCAAAAGATGGCAGCGTTCCCAAGGATTTGCAATGTGCCATGATGCCAGGTGCCCTTATAATCGAAGCAGTTGTGCTTCCATGTTGCCAAAGTAATGTCTCCCTGCCGCGCGTCCTGCCGCACCTCCAAGATAACAGCACTTGCCCCATTTGCTTTCAGCCCGATGTAACCCCTGAGATCTTGAAACCTAATACAAAGTTGAGGGAGTCAGTGAAGGCCTTCTTGAAATCAGCCATCGCACAAGGAATTACAATCACAGGTGGGCAACCGTCTGCTTCGAAAGTCGAAGGCGAGTCAGATGCAAAAGTTGAGCCGGCTCAGGAAAATAGCAGCTTGGGCTTGAATGAAGTGGAAAACAAGGATAGCGTAAAAGACGTTAATTTTTCAGCTTCAGAACGCAGTCCCACCCTTGCAGATGATGGTGCGGACGAATTGTCAGCTTTGAACGAGAATGCTGAGGACAACGAACAATCAGAAGACAAGATAGATTATGATGATGTCATCAAAGTTGAGCCAGCAGCTTCAGAGTCGACTGCAGACAATACCAACTTGGGGCTTGATGACAAGTCTAAGTCCAAGGATGCCCCTGATGACAACGCAAGTCAAGAGGCAGGGACGAAGGAAGCAGGGAAGATCAATCCAGCTGAAGCTTCCAGCACGGTGCAAGATCCGGACTTGCCTGGCAACCTCAACCAGGAGGGTACAGGACATCCCAGCATGATGCAGGCAGGAAGAATGATGCAGCCTCCAGGTTTCATGGCCGGGATGATGCGCCAGGGCTACCCCGATGCGGGGCGGAACAGAAATAGTGGTCCTCCACCTATGATGCCGCCACCTATGGGTGGCTTCCCGGTCCCGCCTCATGGATTCATGGACATGATGAGGATGATGGGAGGCAGGCCAGGCTGGGGGATGCCACATGCAGGACCCAACGGCATGCCGATGCTTCCACAGATGATGCCGGGGATGCCAATGGGCTGGCCTATGGGTAACTTCCCTAATTGGGGCAGACCTGGCTCAAGATCACCTTCTCGGTCTCGTTCACGTTCCTTGTCGCGTTCGAGGTCCAGGTCGAGAAGTGCGGGAAGGAGAAGTCGTGAAGATAGAAATCGTAGCACCAGGGAAAGGAGCAGAAGCAAAGGGCGAAACGACCGCAGAAGCTTTTCGAAGAGGAGAGAGGATGAGGGAAAATCGCGGAGAGATGAAGAAAGCAGATCCCGCAGAGAAGATGAGGGCAAGTCTCGAAGGGTTGATGAAGGCAAATCAAGGAGAGACGAGGAACACAAGAATCGTAAAGCTAGTGCTGAAGGTCGTCAAAGTTCACAATCAACCAGAAAAATATCTGAAGACGCTGAACGGAAATCCTCGCGCGACGCAAGCAATGCTGAGGACAAAGGCGAGAGACAGCGCGATCCAGAAACATCAGAAAATCGGGGGAGGAAAGTCGCAGAGCGATCCAAAGTGCAAGATGACAATGAAGCGAAAGCAGAAGCGAAAGCAGAACCAGGGTCTGAGTATACGTTTGACAAGAATGATGAATTTGAGTCTTTGTTCTTGCCCGATGACGACGACGAAGTTGAAGATGCTGGTAACCATGAGAACGACAAACCGGACTCTGCTCCAGCTGAGAGCTCGAGCGAAAAGAGAAAGGAAAGTATATCAGATCGTGAACGCGAACGTGAAAGGACAAGACGGAAAGATGACACAAGGTAGATCTTATTGCTACGAGCTCAGGTGCTCATCTGAATTTTTGAAACAGAGAATCGCGCGATTCTGGCAGTGATAGAGATCGCAGCAAACAGACAAGAGAAGAACGAGGGTATTGGAAACTGATAGATCCTCTCTCGCCTCAGTAAGACGCATTTGCAGGTCCAGGGGACGCGGAGACGACGACAGCCGGGAGCGAGTTCGTGACGATGATAAGAATCCACGGGAAGAACTCAGGCGGCGCAGTGACCGGAGAGACGAAGACAGAGTTCGAGACATCGAGAGGAGGAGAGAAGAGGAACGAAGACGAGAAGAAGATCGACGGAGGGGCGACGATCGCAGACGCGAAGATGACAGGCGGAGGAGCGATGACAGAAGGCGCGAGGAAGATAGGAGGAGGGAGAGAACAAGAGACCTCGAACGGGATCGTGAGCGTGAGCGTGAGCGTGAGCGTGTACGAGAAAGAGAAAGAGAAAGGTGAAAGAATGAATCCTTGGTTCTTATGTGATAGGCTCTCAGGGATCGAGAAGGTCACCGGGACAGGCGAGACAGGTGAAGTCAAGTACTGCATCATGACTTTGAATGACTGAGATAAACCAGCAGGAAGGAGAAGAGAGACCGAGAAGATGAGAAGGCTGCTGAAAGCTTGGCGCCGAAGGAAAGGAGCATTGAGAGGGATGCAAGGCATGACATTGAGAGGAAGCGCCGGGAAAGAGAGCGGAAGCGCAGCATGGACGATGATGAGAAGCCATCGGAATCGAAGTCAGCGAGCAGCGAAAACAAGACCGAAGGGTCTGATTCACGAGGCAAAGGAAAGGTGATCTTTGACGCTTCTGGGATGCCGTATCATGGCGATCAGGACCCCCACCGTTCCAAACATGGAGAGAAGAGAGGGAGGAAGGGAGACCGGGGTGAAGAGCGCGAGAAGCCTGCTATCCTAGATCTCCGCGAGAGCCTGTCTCAACGCGATGCCGACGCAGCTCGAGGAGACAGTCGCAAGGGCAGAGGTAGCGAAACCCCGGCAGACAGCGGCAAGGAAGAAGACTCGTCAAGCTCCAAGCGGCGGAAGAAGGACGATGGAGATGGTCACATCCCTGTTTCTCAGCGCCTGGGTCCACTGAGGCAAAGGTGAGATGGCAGGAGAGGAAGAGGTAGTCTCGCTTATTTCTGCCACAGTGGGGAACAGAAAACTTCCCGCAAAGGAGGGCGAAAGGGTGAGCTCACAGTGACTATAACCTTGTAAAGGGAAGACGCAGGGCATACTGTTCTAGAAATGTTAAATTTTGTCAATTTTCTATCGATGAACTGAACTTTAGTTATGGAGAATCGAGCATTCTCGTTAAGATTGGAAAGATTGGAGCTTGAGCGTCAAAGCCTGAATCAAGCAAGTGAGACCATAGCGGGCCATCGTCAACCTTCACCTGAATTTTTGAATCTTTCAAGTGTACCAGCTGCTGAAGTGTCAGATCCTCTATAGCAGTCCTCTGTCGCACTTCACCTGTTCTAGTTTCTTTATTTTCGTTTCTAAGATATCCACTGTCTCTCGAAGCTCCTGTTGCCATCGTTCACATCACATGATCGTGGATGTAACCATGTTCACCTGAATCGTCTGCTCTTTCTCAATCAAAATCTCCGTGTCAACCTCCCGCTGCAGATCCGCTCGTCCACTCATTGTTGTCCCCATCCTGTGACAAGTCTCAGCATTGCCTATCAGTCGCCATCTCACCTCGACACAGGAACTTCCATGTCGCTAGATTGAGATCGCAAGTTCGCCCGAGCGCTGTCAAGGTGCTGAGGAGCACGTGAGCAAGGATTCAGAATTCTTTCTGCACATACTGGACTCCGGCGCGACGGCTGGGACCCAAAAAATGTTGATTCTAGCCCTATGTAACCAACCTTTGAGTGAGAGAAGGAGAGAGGATAGGCAGAAGGAGACCCTGATTCTGAGTCTTGCGACTTGAACTGCTGCTCTTGTTGTCAAGCCGGTTCCTATCCTCATTCACCTTGTCGTAGATTTTGAACAAAAACTGGACCAACAGGGTGAGGCAAAACCGCAATCGATCAAAAGGTTTCACACTTTCTCCACCGCCATCGGGACACAATTTGCAATGTCTGTCATTTCTGTCTGGGTCAAAACAACTCCAACTCTCTTCAGCACCCGCTCTGGCCAAAAGTCAGTGACAATACAATCTTGATGAGCAGGTTACTGTTGAGGGTCTGCCAATTGTAAGTCTTTTGAGACAGAGCGTTTGCAGCGCTGTAGTTGTGCAGTTCAACGATCCTCGGATAGAAATGATTGAGGAGTTCAGCCATGAGAACTGCAGCTCTGTTACGAGCGCTTGTCAAACACCTTCCTTCATACCTCCATCGCTGAAATCACGACTGATGTTCCGTTTCGGTCGTGACAATGGTACGGAATCAACCCAAGCATACAAATTTTGAATCTGAAAGCCTCAGCGTCAGGCGATGAACTGTGAGTCAGTGCACTGGAACAAAATCTCACCTCGTCATCCGAAAACTCCATGACTTCTGCCCACCACCCACGGAAGGATCGGCAAGATCTTAGATGCAAGATTAGCACAGTGAGCATGCGACGTCTCGTCACGGTATACGACAGAACTCTTGAGATACAAACACACCTAACTCTCAATAACTCTCATCTTCATTATACCATCAAGACTGACATCCATGCCCACATGTTAAATCTTAGCGCCACACACTCTTATCAAACAAATCAGCTATATGTAGGATCTACTTCTTTCCATGGAGCCTTCTTCTCGCTGTCGGTTCTTCTATCACACACCACATCTGATTTCGTGGCTAGTTTGCCATCCGCAAATTCAAATTCACCTTCTCTTATTCCTACATCCTCCCTCTCTCCTCTCCTCTCCTCTCCTCTATCCTCTCCTCTCCTCTATCCTCTCCTCTCCTCTCCTCTATCCTCTCCTCTCCTCTCCTCTCCTCTCCTCTCCTCTCCTCTCCTCTATCCTCTCCTCTCCTCTCCTCTCCTCTATCCTCTCCTCTCCTCTCCTCTATCCTCTCCTCTCCTCTCCTCTCCTCTCCTCTATCCTCCCCTCTCCTCTCCTCTCCTCTCCTCTCCTCTCCTCTCCTCTCCTCTCCTCTCCTCTCCTCTGTCCTCTCCTCTCCTCTCTCCTCTCTCCTCTCCTCTCCTCTCCTCTCCTCTCCTCTCCTCTCCTCTCCTCTCCTCTCCTCTCCTCTGTCCTCTCCTCTCCTCTCTCCTCTCTCTCTTATCTCCTCCTCCCTCCCCTCCCTCTTTCCCTTGTCCTTTCCCCGCCTCTCTCCTGAACATTTTTGGCGCCTTCAAACTGTCGGAACTTTCATAAGAATGTCATCGTTGTAAGAACTCGGATAAGTTCTTGGAGACGGCGAGAAGTTCAGGGTATTGCGTCTCATCGATGGACGAAGCTCAGCGAGATGGAAGTGGGTTTCGACATAGGTCTGGAATTAAGGAATCGACGAGCCTGAGGGTCAGGCGGAGAAGAGGGGGTTAGGAGGACACGTGTCGACGGCGCGCTGTGCATTGTACTTGGTTGCAAGGGACTGAAGGGAAGGTGACTGCTGTGAATAAAGGAAGTGTTGGTGGTGTTGTGTGGTTCTTCTGAGAGTTCTATCATCATCAGTGAAGGTGTTGGAGACTGCACAGCTGTGTATCGTTGAGGTGAATAAGGTTGGTGTAAGGATCTCAGGTGTACTGAGAGTTAGTCTTTGGTGGATCTTGGGTTAAATAGATTCTGGCCAGTGAGGTGGAGGTTGATTCGATTACAAAGAGAAAATTTTCTCTTTGTTCTCAGTTCTCATTTTTTTTACTGTTGTTGCGCAACTGTGATTTACCGTACGGTCTGAACTGGAACAAAGAGTAAGTTCGGTTCATTGTTGCTATTTGAGTCGGTGATTCGATTGTTTGGAATCGTTGTTTGGAAGTTGGACTCGATTTTTTGCATTTTTTACGCTTGTGCTTGGAAGCTCAGTTTGGAAGGTCGGAGTCGATTCTTGTGTGGAACGTTGCTACTGATTTTTCGACATTGCTTTTACCATGGGAGGAGGAAAATTGGACCTCAGTGAAGAATTGATCAAGACTCATCCTGAGTTACAGATGGACACATTCCTCAAAGGATCGGTGACGTCACAGGAGGAATTGGATGAACTTTTGCTTCCGATTCAGAATGCAATGAATCGTTATCGGACAGGATTGGGCTTGTGTCTTTTCCCGCTGATACGAGAGTTTCCACTCGATCAACTCGGTAATTTTGGTGGTGAGTTTCATACTGTATGGGAAAAGAACAAGAGTGTGAATGTGGATGGCGAGTTGACGGAGGAATGGAAAAGGCAGGTCGTTTTGCTTTTCCTGAATGCCAAATTTTGTTGGAGGAAGAGCGGGCAGATTCGAGATTATGTGGAGCAGTTGCAAAATTTGTCCAAGACGGTGTCGGATCAGTATGGTAGTCCTGTTGATGACGGTGATTCCGGCAACCCAGTGAGTGCTTCTCAGAGTGGCAAGAAGAAAAAGAAGGGGGTAAGCCGAAGGGATTCTGATGGCAAGGAGATGGATGCCGCGATGATTAACGCGTTATATGAAGACGTTGAATATTTTCTCCTGGAGCTTGGCCAATACTTTCGATCCTATCTGAAGCCATTATTTCCTGTTCCATGGGCTATGTCAGGAGGATTCAAGTCCAAGTTGGCTCCGATCAAAGCTCTGGCGTATATGATATGGGAAGTCAGAAAGCGCAGTGGGAATCTCAATGCCACTCCGGATAAAACGCGGATGGAGCTTCTGACGCTGGCAAAGTCGAAATTGCCTGACATATCTACCTTCCACAGCGTTATGGTCCAGATGAAGATCCTGCTTAACAAGTTGGAAGATGTAGCGGGAGAGGAATCTGTGAAAGCCTTGGAAATGATTTTGGTGGAGGAGCTGATCAAGCAATGTTATGTTTCAGATTGTATTGATATTCGAGATGTCGCGCGCTTGAATAAGCGGTCCAAGTTGTCAACCGAATTGACTTGGGAGGAGGTGTACTCTTGGGCTGTGAATTTGCATGATGAACAGGTATTTTTTACTGCTGGGGGTGAGAAAACACAGTCGGGCACTGCGTCAGTTAATGTGGCAGCCTCGGAGGTGCAAGCTACGGTCAGTCAACCGAATGCAGACAAGGCGTCTGAAAGTGGAGGACAGGGTGGTAAGGAAAAGGGAGACTCGAGAGGCAGCAATGAGTCGTCGCCTGTGGATAATGCATCTGGCAGTCAGGAGGATGGAAGCACGTTGGACGCGAGGGAGAGTACGCGAGGCCGAGGTGAGCCTCCGGGTCAGGGAATGCGGCGCAGGGGCGCCTACCATGTTGATGGGTCTCGTGGCGGCTACGGTCGTGGAGGCTCCGCTGGTGCTGGATCGAATGATTTTCGAAATCACCAAGGAAGAGCCGGTGGTTTTCAAGGGAATAATTTTCGGGGAAGAGGCTCAGGATTTCGAGGTCATCATCAGCAGCGGGGGAAGCCGTATGATCGTCCGGCTGGTAGAGGGATGCGCGGACGAGGTAGAGGGGAGCATTGGACGACGCATAACTACAATCCACGCAGAGGCGAGTCTGATGGTTTCTCAAGAGGTGATCGTTCGGGAGGATATCATGAGCGGCGAAACAATGTGCATGAATTTTCTCCTCAGGCTCTCGGCGAGGCGGTACTGCGCTTGGCCAGGGAAATCCAGGGGGGAAGGAGGTCAGGTGCAGACGGTGAGCAGCCGGTTGGACCATGGCAGGAGACGTTTGAGCCTAACCATCGGGGACGTGGCCGTAGTCCGGTGTCGGACAATCCTTTTGAGAGGACGGTACAGCAAAATGTTTCAGAAAGCAATGCTCAGGCAGGTCGCCGTCAGGCGGAATGGCGATCCTTCTTTGCGTTTCAGTTTGGCATTGATTCAACGATGTCGATGACTGATATTCAAGGAATGGCAATGCAGAGTATGGTGGGAGACGGTGACGGAAGGGTTGTCAATTTTTTGCTTGATTCGGGTGCAAATGTTACCATGGTTGGGGACGAATCCCTCCTCTCAGACGTACAATCGGGAGACGATTTCTTTGTCATGACGGCAGGAGGAAAGATTAATTGTACCAAGTATGGCAAGCTAAATTTGCAAATTGTCGGTGCAGATGGTGAGTCGGACAATATAGTATTGGAGAATGTTCGAGTTTGTCCTGTCCTTCCTGTACCACTTGTGAGTCTGGATGATTTTCTGGGATCCAAGTATTACATTGTTGCACGGGGGTCGAAGAACACGGTCAAATCCTATGTGGCTTCGGAGGATGGCAAGATCAGGATTCCTCTGATTCAGCGGGACAAGTTGTATTTGTTGACAACCAGAGGTCCGATGCATGATTCTGTGGCAGGTGATGTGCCAATCTTTTGTGTTTCAGCGGAGGCTGGAACAGTTTGTTTGACTAAAGCACATGTCACTCCTGGACCTTCTTTCGATGGGCAGTCAACACAGAGTCTATCTGATGCGGTTCTGTGGCACATGAAAACGGGGCACCCTGATTGTCGAGTACAGAAGTTGCTTGCGGATACGGTCAAATACATCACATTCAATAGGCGGTTGATTCATTCTCCGTGTCACGTGTGTAGGATTTCGAAATTTGTGTCACGCCCTGTTCACAAACAAACCTCATTTCGACAGGAACGTGTTGGAGATGTAAATGCTCTGTGGTACGTAGACTTGAAAGATATGGTGGCAGTCTCTGAACCATCGGGTTATCGTTACTTTCTTATAGTTGTCGACGCTTTTTCCGGATACCTGATTGTGCGTCCCATGAAGTCCAAGAGTCAAACGAGTGATATTCTGATGGAGTTACTTCGACAGGAGGAGAAAAGTGTCAAGAGAAACGGAGTTCAACGCATCATATCTGATAACGGCAGTGAGTTTTCTTCTTCAGAGTTGGAGGCATTCGTTCGTGAGACGGGTTTGAAGTGGGATCGGATTCCTGATTACAGTCAAGTTTACAATTCGCTGGCTGAGAGAGGAATTCGAGCAGTCAGTACTATCCACAGAACTTTGCTCAAACAGAGTGCTTTGCCTATCGAGAAATGGGAATTTTCTGTTATGCAGGCTACGTACTTGTACAATGCTCTCCCGAGTTTCAGGAATTTCGGCAATCTTTCTCCGTATACAATCTATAATGGAGATGTTTTCGACTTCAAATCTCTCAAGACCTTTGGGTGTATGACATTCTTCAAGAATAATGTACGCAGTTCGAAGATTGAAGATCCAGCTAAACAGGGCATTATGCTCGGAAATGCAAACGCTTTTCCTGGGCATACCATTGGCTACTTGGTATGGTGTGTTGACGACAACAAAATCTATCACACGAATAATCTGACCTGTGATGAATTCTTCTTTCCATTTCGACGTGCGGGACGGATGAATTGGCAAGAGGATCCTGAAGTGGTGGTAAAGCACGATATTGACATGGAGGATGATTCGCCTGTCAAGGGTGTTGAAGATGAACGGTCAGAGGCAGTGAATGCTGGGACTAGTGGTCGTCGAAAGAGAACACGGTTGGAGGATCATTCACTGGAGTCGGATGATGAGGGGGTAAGGGCTGCTGAGATGGTGTGCCAGGACAGCGATGAAGATTATGTGCCTACAGTGATGGTTGACGGTGGCCGAGAGGATGCGGATCATACGGATACAGAGGCAGCGTCGTCGACCAAAACATGTCGTACCAGACGAGACTTTCGTAAGCAGAGACGGGATGCCGAAAACCGCTTCATCAACAGGCGGGCTGAAGTTGTAATGGATGATGGGAAGGTTCGAACGGGGACGATTACTCAAGTTGTCTTCAAAGACGATACATTCTTGGTGCGTGTTACGTTTGACGACAAGTACTGGATATTAATCCATCCGGACAGTGAGAGCGTACGGATTTTGTCTATGGGGAAGGAAGTTACCATGATTGCTATGTCGGAGGCAGAGACATCTGAGTTGTTGCCTGGGGATGAGCTACAATCAGGAGTTTTGCCGAAGAATGTCTTCGAGTTGACAGGGTGTAACGATTATTACTTTCGAGCGTTTCCTCAAAAGGGGGATAACATCCTTTCGCAGCTGGTGGAAAAGACAGTTCGAGGAAATCCCGATGTCTTTCTTATGCACAGGAAGTCTCCTCTGTCATCTCAGCTGGTACCTGGAAAGGTGCTCAACGGCGATGGAAAAGAGGTACTGTTCGTATTGGACGAGGGTAATCGTTCGACTACTTCTCAGCACTCTGCACGATGGATACCATTGAGACGGGAACGGTGGAATGATGTGGTCCCACTCATGGAGCCAGGGGATGACATTGATGTTGCTCGTGATCCAGACTGTATTGATCTTGGTACAAGTGAGTTGACACAATGTTTTCCCAGACTCTCGTATGCTTGTCACCAACATGGCGCTAGTTGTTCCTGTATGGGAAGCTGTCAAACTCTCTGCAGCATTTCTGTCGCGAGCTCCGCCATCAGTACAAGACTCGAGTTCGACGGCAGATCCTCGCAATCGAAGGGAGATGTTGTTGCACAAGGATAGAGAATTGTGGGAGGCAGCTGAACGAGCTGAGATTCAAAAGATGGAAGAAAGGCGAGTTTGGGAAGTGGTCCCGAGGTCTGATGAAACTCGAGGTAAAATTCTTGCGAGAGCGATGTGGGTTTATTCATCAAAGAGAGATTTACATGGCAACATTCTGAAGAGAAAAGCAAGGTTGGTTGTGATGGGCAATCTTTTACCCACGTCCGAGGAGTTGTTTGCGCCGACGACGTCGATGGATAACATTCGGTTGTTACTCAGCATAGCGGCAGGAAATGGATGGATTATCGCCTTCCGAGATATCGCGGCCGCGTTCCTATACAGTGAATTGAACGAACCGATGTTCATGATACCGCCTGACATCATGGCTTTGCCTCCGAATGTTTTGCTCAAAGTAACCAAAGCGATATATGGGACGCGAACGGCTCCGCGACGATGGTGGGAAAAGCTGTCTCGGGAATTCCTGCGTCTGGGAGCGGAACCTGTGGGACATGATGAAATCATTTACAGATATGAACACAACGGCTCAAGAATTCTCATCACGACATGGGTGGATGATCTTCTCCTGGTATGTGAGAATCAAGAAGTCTGTAATTATTTTTTGGACTGCTTGAGCAAGGTATTCGACTTTTCTGGAAGTGAAGCTACAGGTACATTCCTGGGTATTCGTGTTCACCAAGATTTGACGAAAGGAACTATTACCTTGAGTCAGAAGCATTTTATTGAACAGCTGGTTGAGAAATTTGGAATAGCTCTTCGTTCAGTGTTTACTATCTTGCCTGGAGTGTACATGCGGAGTTATCATCTAGAGGGAGAATTGTTGGATAAGTTCTCGGTGAGACAATATCAGGCTCTTCTTGGAACAATCTTGTACGTTGCTAATGGGACAAGAGCTGATATTTCATTCGCGGTCAGTCTCTTAAGCAGATTTGCACGGGCACCCAGAGTGCGTGACTGGGATGCATTGGTTCACTTGGCGAGGTATCTGTACACGACGAGAGATATTTGTATTGTTTACCATCAGAGAGGTGTATCTGTTAATCAGGAGGTGTTTCACAATGAACTCGTAGCTGCGAGTGATAGTGACTGGGGGACGGATGTCTTGACGCGACGAAGTCAGTCCGGATGGGCTATCGTAATGAACGGAGGAGTTATTTCATATGGTTCGAAAGCGCAGAAAGTGATATCACTTTCATCGTCAGAGGCAGAAATCTATGCGACATCGGTAGTCGCCAAGCATATCAAGATGTATCGAAGCTTACTTCAACAGTTAGGGTTTTGCCAGCAACGTCCGACGATGCTCCTGCTGGATAATGAGCCGTGTATTCGTTTGTTGACCGAGAAACGAGCATATTCTAGACTGAAGCACATCGACTTACGTGCTAAGTTTGCTGTTCTCATGGTGGATGAGGGAGAATTACTTCCTGTGAAAGTTCCTACTAAGTTTCAGCCTGCGGACCTGTTCACGAAAATTCTGCCGTTTACGAGGTGGAAAGCAATTGGTTCGTTTCTATTTGGAGAAGATTTCAACGCTCAAGGGGTATGCTGCAGTGATGACTCTCATCCTAATGAGAACGATGGCACTCTGTGAGCATCTTGACATGTAGTACGCGAAGGGTGGAGTTCATGCTGGTTGAGTGGAGTGAAGTCAGCCATGGGAGGCGCAGTTGCAGGACATGGGGGGAAAGATTTTCTACAGAATCAACGCAGTATGATTTCTGTCGCAACTGTGTGCTGACTGTAGTTGTAGAGACTGCCTGGAGACAGCGCTTTGGGAGCAACTTTGAACTTCAGTGGGATTCATCCCAGCTTGAATACAATGGGGTTCATCGTACAGCTGGTATCAACGAGCAATCGCCTACACCAATCTCTGATTCAGGGAGGGAGAACCTTGGCAGGAAGGTTTGATATTGAGAAGTAGAATCAGATGATTGGCGTGGCGTGGTATCAAGCTTCTTCTCCCGAAGACTGTTCAAGGAACTCTAGGTCAAGTCAAGCAGGTTAGGATGTGAAGCCTTCCATCATGATCGCAAGATACAAGACCTATGATCGCAAGAATTGAAATGAGAATTGAAATTGATGAAAAATCGGCCGTTGAGAAATTGAGAAATCGAAAATGAAGAGATGATTGATGGGAAAGGCAAATGAAAGAAGATCATATGGTCAATATGAGAATTGAAATGAAAAGATTTCAAATGAAATCTCAAGAGCTCTCAGGTGATATGGCGCCAAATCAATCTTTCATACCGCGGTTAGATAGCGATTTGTTAGAAGGGCCCGTAGAGCAGGATAGTTAGGACAAACACATTGGTCATGAATGGTGGACATCATTGGGTGGAAAATTTGGATTGAGAAAGTCAGATGGGTGACAATTGAAATCGATGGGATTTGAAGCACAATGATGGGATGGATGACTAGATGATCAGAAAGGTGTCTGGGGAGCCTGACTGATCAGAGGGGAAGCCTGACGAACAAGTGCAGTGCGGCACAGTCGAGTTCAGGTGGTGGAGGAGTGTTGATGGTACTGACGAGGTTTCTATGAAGGAGAGTGTGTAGGTAAAAGATGGATGGAGAAGGATCTGGGAGCCTGAGCAAGAAGCAGCTTGGAGCATGGAGGAGGAGATTGCGATTCGGGAGGATGCAGGGTGCAGCTAGCATGGGAGGATGCAGGAAGCTTGATGGAGGAAGCAGGGAGCTTGATGGAGGAGATTGGGATCCAGGAAAAGAGCAGGCAGCTTGGAGGAGGAGAGCGCGGTGGTGCAGCTTGGAGGAGGAGCAGGGAGATGTTTAAAAAGGGGGTGGAGGATGAAGGATGAAGTGGAAAAGGAAGCTGAGAATCTCGCTTAACTTCGTCAGGGAGGGTGTAAGAACTCGGATAAGTTCTTGGAGACGGCGAGAAGTTCAGGGTATTGCGTCTCATCGATGGACGAAGCTCAGCGAGATGGAAGTGGGTTTCGACATAGGTCTGGAATTAAGGAATCGACGAGCCTGAGGGTCAGGCGGAGAAGAGGGGGTTAGGAGGACACGTGTCCACTGCGCGCTGTGCATTGTACTTGGTTGCAAGGGACTGAAGGGAAGGTGACTGCTGTGAATAAAGGAAGTGTTGGTGGTGTTGTGTGGTTCTTCTGAGAGTTCTATCACCATCAGTGAAGGTGTTAGAGACTGCACAGCTGTGTATCGTTGAGGTGAATAAGGTTGGTGTAAGGATCTCAGGTGTACTGAGAATTAGTCTTTGGTGGATCTTGGGTTAAATAGATTCTGGCCAGTGAGGTGGAGGTTGATTCGATTAGGCATAGCTGAGATGCAGTTCCAATGGTGGAATCTGAATGACATCAAGTTAGCAACCTCAGGCCTCCCGCCTCCATATCACCCTCATCCTCATCCTCTTGATACAACAACGCCGACGACAACAATTTTACCTTAACGTCGAGCTTGAAATCTTCGATAACATCTCTGATCTTATCTCTGTACTGACCCGTATGTATACCCATAGTTGTGCTTCCACACAGCATCCATGCTCTTGATGTACATGCGCAAGCTGCTCAGACAGTCAGACAAGCGCACTTCCAAGGTACACCAAGAGCGTACCCGTAGATCTCTTTCGTTGCCGTGACTATGTCGTTATACTGGAACCATTGGAACTGTGTCATGCGGCACAGCAGGGTAAGCAGTACTACCCCAGCAGCCCACACGTCCACTGCTGTGGTCTGGCACTGCATGCCCATGAGCACTTCGGGCGCTCGGTATTCCCGAGTTCCCGCGCGGTTGACTGGACGTTCGAATTTGACCCCTGAGTTCCTCACTGTCACCGATGCGTTCGTCTTGCTGACGCCCAACATGATCCGCCTCTTCGCCGCCATCTGCTGCGCCATCTCTAGCTTCTACTGCTCCTTTTGATTCCGCGAGGAGCGAGAGCTGGCCGTAGAAACCTCACGAGAGCTGGCCGTAGAAACCAGACTGTATGCTAGAATATGAAACTCAAGCATCATTGCAACGCCGCTTCCGACATCACACGGACGGTACGGCCCGGTACCGCCGGGCATTGCCGCCGCGTGCCGCTCTGGCTCGGAACTTGAACCGTTGACTCACCGGCGCCGCCCGGCCGTAAGCCTGGGACGGCCCGGTCCGGTCACCAGTGTTGCATTACGTCATGATCTTGGATTTTCGGCATTTTCTTCCGGCAGTGGGTTGTCTTCAATCGAGAACAAAAGTAGGGTGGGGTAGTTGTATAAGTATTCTACGTTTGCTGCTCTGGTACAAATTACATGTTTTTAACAATTTCAAATCGATTTCAAAGCCTCTGAAATCTTCAAATCCCTAGCCCGAGCCATCCACACGCCGCGCATGTCGCCACTTCAGGCTTGCACGCCGGCACGTCTCCCCATGACCTTGGCACGCAGTACACTGAAAGAGGACCCAGCGTGACGCCATAATGGCAGCTGTCCGCATTCGTTTGCAACGAGCAGCTGCTCAGGCAGGACTGAATGTTCGACGATCGAATGAGATAGAGTTCTCGCGGTTGGAAAGATCAAAGCCTGACCTTATAACCCATGGAGTTCCTGAATGTATCAAACAGCCCCTGGCAGTGGAGCGAAGACTCGAGGTGTCAAGTGGTATACAATGGACAGATGAACGTATTCAAATATCCTTGAATATTGGTCCAGGGATTGGAATCGTGTACCCAGATGCTGGAAATGGCTCGAGAAGACTTGGAATAGTCAAGCGTGTTGACATTCAAACATCAATGTTTGAAGTTTATATGCTATATGATCGGAGCCTGCTTAAGAGCGTTGATTCAAATTTGATATCTGAGCATATGCCCAACCACCAAGTATCTCATTTCACCCGACAGCTCAAAGACAATCAGTGCCTGCAATCCGTATATTGTGAAACTGTTAAGATCGATGAGGTCCAGGATGTGTTCCAGGTGAAGTACCCAGTATATCAGCTTCCAGATCATGAAAATGATGAGAAGGTGGTATATGTCATTGGTTACATACATTTTTGTTCAGAATACATCGGAAAGCAAAAGTACTGTGAATGCGCCATTTTTTCAATTTCAAGTCCTCGTGATTTTATTGAGAAAATGATGCGAATGTCAAGTGCTACTGAGAGGTATTTTGTCATACACCAGGATCTTGCTGCTTTCAAAAATCAGTTGTTCAAATGGTTGGTGGCAAGGGGATCATCGCGAGAGAAGAAGAGGACAAAGCAGTTAGAGTTCTCTTGCGTCGATGTTTCTATAAGCAGTACTACCGCATCTTGTCACTTGTTCCGGAGGCTTTACGACCACTTCTGAAGGTAAAACGTCAGCAGACAAGCTACAAGTGGTACATTTGCTGTGGAGATTCCTACAAGAGCCTGTCCGAAACCTTTGCCAAATCTGAGTCGAGTATATGTAATCTTACCGATGATGCTTGTTTGCAAGAGAAATTCACTGGTCGTTTCTTTTCATTCAATGCAAGGTCTTGACGGTTTTGGAGACGTCGAGTGGACGGCTCCCTCGAGATCAGAAAAACAGAAAAACCGGCGAGGTTCTAAGGTTTGATAGCAGTCCATGCTCAGCCGCGCGGTGGATATGTTGAGACTTAATCTGCTTATGCCATATTTATTAGATTTTGGTCTTACACTTGTACATCCTCTAAATCATTTACAAAATCGCACAAGGCAAATGAGATTGTTAGAGATTCCACCAAGATGTCTATGCCTCTGCCTCTGCTATAATCGTTGTCATATACAACTTCTTCAGGCTCGTACGGAATTCCGTCGGCAGCGCACTGTGCCTGCTTCTCACGCTGTTCTTTTCTCGTTCGAGTCATATCTTGAATTATACTTTTTCTCCACAGCAACCTCCCTAGTTGCTGGCAAACAAAAGTTCAGCCAAAAGTCTATGACAGATGAAATAATGCAATTACCTTGTGTCTCGCCTCCACAGTTTCCATACTTGACAGAGATAGGGTGGTCCCAAATTCTTCAATGTGCACTTTGAAGAGTTTTGCAAGGTGACCTTGAGCGATGAAATGAAAATAAACTGCAGAGAACATATCTTTGTCTCCTGTCAAAACTGGATATCGAATAGCAAAAGAGTTCAGTCTTTTGGGTAAACTGTCGATCTCCTCCTTGCTCAGTTCATGAAAATGCTTTTTCGAAAGCGTTTTGTCTATCGAACACCAATTTCGAAAAATATCCTTGCAATACACCTGCTTGTCTGGATCCGTCGGGTACAATACCTCCATCACCCCAGGCAATACGTTTTCTTGAAACTTGATGCACCGTACCCCATCCAAGTTGGGCATTACATACTCGTCGGTCTTGTATTTGTACTTGATGTTGTGGTTGTCGAAAACCTTCAAGACTGCGTCCACCTTCGTGGGCCCGTTCTTCTTGGCCACTTTGAAAATCCATCTCAAAAACATCTGGTCAATTCTCATTCTGTTATGAAGCAGGCAGGCAACAAGCATTCGCAGCACGTCGTCGCCGAAGAACTCAAGCATGTCGGAGTCCCGCGCTTCTGCGTCATTCTGTCTCAAAACCATGACTCGCTGACCTTGTTCAAGTCTTCCAGAGTCTTTCGTAGTTTCCATCTGATGCACGTCTTCAGAAGTTATTTTTCCATCATTTTCTATTTCTCCATCATTTCCTGTTACATGCGTACAGCTTTGAATAAATTCTCTCTGTGATGCAGACATGCTTGGATCATTTAGGACCCCGAAGTCTCCCGCATCGATATCTCTTGATTCACAAAAATCTGCAAGAGATGTTCTTTCGGCGATTGGCTCAATTTTGAAAATACGATGCCTTTCCTTCGTGCTTTCTTTGCAGTATATACAACAGTGTGCATCTCGTATTCCTGCCAAGGTCAAACTTAGTGAGAGGACAAAACAATGGATGGTCGTACCTTTGATGTTGAAGAGGCCCCAGAGTCCTTTGAGATCAGCCTTCACGTGAAACGTAATGGTGATAACCTTCTCAGGATAACTCTCTGCCTCGGTAGTGGTCTTCTCACGTCCACCTAGACAGCTCAGATTCCCATGCTTGTCGGTGTAGAAATGCAGGCCACCTTGTATGGTTTTTCCATCTTGAGTCTTGTAATTCTTTCTGATTTCCTGAATGCTTTGTTTATATGGGTGAACAATGTTTTTCTGAATTTTATCTGCAGAGTCTTCGCCGCTCACGACAGCAAACGTTACTAAACATTCTTGATTCTTATTTCGTTTTTCCTGTTTGAACCGATACTCGCGTATGATGGGAGTGTCTTCGTTCCAGCGTGCACTTAAGCACAAAGTAACTTCTGTATGAGACGAGTCACTCTGCGCAGATTTTCCCGTCCTGCACCCGTCATATGAAATCCAAGCATCAAGGCTATCTGCAGTTGCTATTTCGGGACATTCGGCAATAACTTGCATGTACTTCATTTCCAGGGCGAGTGCAATAGGAACCCCCTTTCCGTCAGGCAAGTCGATGATAGGAAGCTTCTGTCTAATCAACGACTTCATACTTCTTGCCTTCTTGGAGACCGAATCATAGGATGGGAAAAATCCAGACCGTTTACATCCACTCAACTTTGCTTCCGAAGCATTATCTGCATCTTTCTCAAGGCAAGTAGTCGCTTTTCGCATTATCTTGCAAGTCTGTCGTAGCTGTTTGTCAGTCATCTGCATTTTGAGGCAATCGATAGCCACAGAGTCAACTGTTGGACTTATTGAAGATGCGATCTCGTTCACTGCCCTAAGCACCGAGTGGTCCTTGCGTGCATTGTCAGTCAAGAAGGGCTTGGTTCCTTGTGCAAATCCTGACAAAAAGGTGGGAAAGAAGAACATGGATGGTTTGCTTGCTATTGTACACATTTCCCCAAAAAGTCTGGCGACGCATGAATCTTTAGCCCCACTAATTTGTTTCAAACATCGCTCAAAAACATCGGAAACAGGTGTGAACTGCTTCCACATCTTCGTAAGGCAGCTTCGTTTGGCATCGACCCATTCGGGCTCATCTGGAATCGAGTCAAAAGAATGAAATGCATGTCCTTCTTGCTCCGGGCATACACTATGCCAGATAGTGTCGAAATCAACAGTTGGGTCGAAAACTTGGTTTTTCTGCATCAGATCCTTTAAATCGAAATAATCCAGTAGCGCTTTCCCGATGACAGACTGTTCTGATAGTAAGAAACCTTCACCACAAGCATCGACGAAGCCTTTCACATCGGGCAACCCATCTTTATCGTAGAATTTTTCCACAGATGCCAAAACTGCTAGACCATTGTATGAGCCATGCTTGATTCGTATGCGGAGGTCTTTGGCTAGTTTGGGAACATTTTTTTCAAACGCGAACAGCCAGCGAACAGATGTTTTCAGGGCATTGATGATGATCTCAAAGGATGAAGTACGAACAGGTGTAGTTGCAAAAATCGACCGATCAACTCGTCCATATCTTCACGGTCCAAAGGACGGGCGGCGCCGCGGGCGGTCCAAGGACATGGAGGAGCTGCATGGTTCCCCCTGCCAGAGACAAACTCGGCCCGCTTCAGAGCTCTTGGTGCCGACGAGCAAGCTTGGGGGGGGTCTTGAGATGCACTCATTGCAAGCATTGTTGTAATCAAAGCATCAGACTTGAAAAAGATAGATCATGTTTCGTGAGACAGGTTGGTAATACATGTCTACAAGCAAATTGGCGGCAAAATATATACCAGACTGGAGGGCACCCACCCCATGAAATGACCACATCAATTCCTATCACCCCTATCTAGCACTCAAAGTCTCTGTTATAGGTGTGGGTGGGCATTTGAAATTCGGTGTCAGGGGTAGGTGGGATCCCAAGTTGCTCCCACCACCCACCCTTTGCTGATTCGAACTTTGTGTTTCTCCACCTACCAATACTCAAGGAGCAGTCCGTTAGTCAAATAGGGGGGTACAAAAGGGAGACACGGGGACTACCCCTGTACTCATCACGAATGTGTCTGGTCTGGTCTGAACACGTTCACAGACCACAATTCTGTTTCTCGCCAGGGAGTAACTACCCTACCCTGCAACATCCTTTATTTTCCACCGGTCCAACTAGACTTCATGAACCCTACCTGTTCTGTGACTATCATGATGGGGTCCCATGATGCGTGAGAGAGTCATGTCCACCCGACACGCCGGCACGTCGTCCTCTACACCGCCGGCACGTCGTCCTCTACACGCCGGCATGTCGCCAATAGAACACCAGCATGAAGCGGGCCGCCGCTGCGAGCTTGGCGTCATAGTGACATGCAAAGAGGTTACAAGCCTTGGTTGCTGAGGAGTGATTTAGGTTGCAACGATAGTGAATGACTGGAACAGCGTTCACATGCCATGGTGAGTATCATGCCGGCCTGGCTTCAAGCTCAGCTCCTTTGGAATGATCATCGGATCACTGCCGAACGATTCTTTGTAGCCTGGAATCCTGAGTTGCTTTGGTGAGATGTTTGTTGAGTTGGAAAGAAGCTGAAGTAGTTGCCAAGCCGCTTCATTGCAAGCACTGAGTTGAGATTTTCACTGGCTATCTGCACTTCATGATTTGAAATTTCTGTGGCGATGTGCAAGAAGTGGATCAATGTAAACAGTGAATCGGTGTAAACGTGTTAAGATTTTCATTTGTTGCAATCTTTACATGAATGCTGCTGCTCATGATTCATCTCATGTCTGACTGTACATGCAGAAAAATTGGCGGTAGGTACGATTGTTGCCAGGCCGCTGTGCTATTTGGAATGCAGGCAGTATGCTGGTTTGGCTTCTTATGAATGAGACCTTCGAAGCATCGGAGATTGATTTCGATACCTGGAGATAGTGCCAAACATCAACCTTGCCTGCTTTGTGAATCAATATCATAGTATGACCCACCCGCTGTACAGAGGCCATTGGCAAAGTCGGGTGGCAGAAGTACATCTCAGTCACGGTATAAATGTCCAACTTCTCATCCGATGATGATTCGCACTAGGATCTCATTGCTAGAATCCCATCGATGCGCTGCTGTCACAATTAAAGTGTGTTCAAATTACAATCTATCAAGATAAACTCCCTGTGATGACAAGACACAGTGCCATCAATGCAACGAACTGCAATCAGCAAACGGTAGAACAAGTCACTGAGTGTCAAAGGGCTTGATGCAGCGCAGGCTGCGGTACTACCTTCCACATAATTTCGTCATCCTCCTTTCCACCGTCGGTCGGGCTATCTAAATGGCAGAAGCTTGATTCAATCATTACAGGATGGCTACTGCAACAAGATTTTTCATCGAAGTCTGCAGCACTTCATCTGATTCAAGTTGTCACCAATGAAAAAACTGTAGCAATGATTCAGCTTTCATTGGTCTCACTGTCACACGGCCCGGCCTGCCAGATGTACCTGTCAGAGCTCATAGGAACCGAGCCCGAGTCAGACAAAGGCCTATCAGGATGAAAGGACAGGTGGCTGTCTCGTACTCGTGTTCGAAGCTGACTTCTCCTGGATGACCCAGGATACTCTACTCCAGTGTGAAGCTGCTGAAAGGACCCCTGTGGAGGCCTTTGTTGCAGCAACCGTGTACCCGTGGGGGACTTACAAGGTAAACAGAAGGGGTGCGTCTTGTGCAGTACGACCCGTTGGAAACAGCTTGCTGCCATGCAAGGACGGGGTTCTCTTCCCTGCGAGAGAGCATGGTATCCTCTCGAAGGTCAGAAGGGATGCTTGTCAACTTCCAAGAACAGGACACCCCTCCTTTCTGTAGCCAAGAGACGGCACCCCTGGCTCATTCCTCGAAGCTATAAAAGGATGAAACTCGTCAGAGCTAGGTGGTCCTCTTCCCCTTTCGTGTGTGTGCCACGATTGTTGAGACGTCTTTGTGTGTATCGTCTTGTCTTGTTTTGTGTGTGTGTGTGAAAGAAATAAAAGAGAGTTAGATCTCCTTCTGTTTCACCGCTTTCCCTCTTAGTAGAGAAATCCAACGTGAGTTCTTATTGAACTGCGCTTGAAGGTCCACTCGAGAATCTTCGAGGTGTGACATAAAATTGGTAGCAAGGTTGTGATCGGTGATAGAGATCGATTCTTCTCTCTTCCCCTCCCTTTCTCCACTGTTCTTCTGCTTCTTCCTACGCTTACGTCGCGTAGATGTCCGGATACAATACTCGACTCGCAGCTCGCATGCTGGACGAGAATGCTACGGATACTTTGGAACATGACTGGCAATCTGCTGCCGGCATTGACGACGATCTTCGTCCCGAATCGACCGAGGATCGGTCGCTCCAAAACATGTCTGCCGCGCTGCTGGAGGTTCAGCAGCGGTTGAACGCTCTCGAAGCTCCTGCTTCTTCTGAGGCGGTCCCGCCCGCCGCTCTCAAGCCTGGACCGCCCCCCATCTCCTCGCGTGACGGTCCTCAGCTGGTCTCTCTGGCTGATCAGCAATTGCTTGCTAAGTTGCGCAATCTCCCCAAGTTGGATACTGCCCGCCAAACTAGCGCCAACAATGTCTTGACATGGGTTCAAACCATTCAGTACTCCTTTGCTGTGTATGGTATCCCCCGAGCCAACTGGGTTGTCCATACCCTCGATTTACTGGATGCTCCAGTGCGCCAACACTTCGTGGCCAAGTACCCGCCAGAGACCTTTCGCCGCATGGAGTGGGATACATTTTCAGAGGAAATTCGTGAAAAATTCCTGCCTCCTCACCTGCTGTCGAATCTCATTCACCAACTCGACAATTTGAATCAAGACCGTCAGGAATCTCTTGCTTCGTATGCTGCCCGAACCCTGACCTTAATCGAGCAACTTCAGCTCCTTCCGGATGGTAAATTATTTGCGACGTCCTCACTGGTCTGCAAACGGTTCATTAATGGTGTCCGATCGCATATGACTGCTCTACTCTTGAATCAGTGGGTGACTCTACAGCGTTCGGATGATGTTGACTTCCGTCAGCTCAGGGAGTACGCGCTCAAGATCGACAATCAGACCAGAACCAAAGAACATTCGACGGGAGCAGATCCCCACCGGCAGCTCTACTCCGTGCAGGTGGGCAATCGCTCCTCTAATTCTAATGATCGCAAGAGTCGTCCTTCTGGCAAGGCTTCGGCCTTCAAAGAGCGCCGTGCTGCTCGGCAGGACGCCAGGAGTGCGGGAGACTCCTCGTCCCCAAACACATCGACCAATGCCATCCGTTGTTACAACTGTGGCAAACTCGGACATCGATCTTCCGAGTGTCGTCGTACCCGCCGCAGTCAGAGTCCTGAACGTGAGCAGTCGTCCGACTCCTCCTCTCCGCCTCTGCTTGGCGCTGTTCAGACTTCCGACGACCGCAAGGCTGCTCCGTCCGTTGCAGCTAACAAGATTGCTGCTCGCTCGAAGACGCCTAAGCGCCGTCCTCAGGTGCATTTCTCTGAAGAACTGGAAGATGAAGTGCCTCTGGACGGTGACGCTCTCGAGGTACACTTGCATCCGATTGCACTCCATTCCCTTGGCTCTCAGGAGCACGGGGCGTCTTCAGGATCGCTTCTCTATCTGCCCATTGTACCACTCACCTCTCCGGTGCCAGCTACTACTTCCGAGATCCTGGCTTTGCTTGACTCGGGTGCTGAGATCAGTGTGATCTCGCGTCAGGTTGCGCGACAGCTCCAACTGACCACACAGCGTATTCCCGCCACGCTTACCGCTCAGTTCGCTCATGGCGACGCCAAGGTCGTGCTTCGTGAAACCTGTCTCCTGCCGTTTCGCATTGCAGGCACCAATGTTGAAACGCAAGAAACGTTCTTCATTTTGGACTCTCCAGCATCACTGCCGGCGATCTTGTCCCAACCGTTCATTGCCAAGATGAAAATGAATATCGACTTTCATTCCAAGCTCGTTACTATTCCAGCGCAGGATGGTACTGCGGGGCGTCAACGCCTTCCGCTCGCATTTCACATCCCTGGTCCTGGCTCCGCGGCTATGCGGCAAGCCCAGTGTTTGATCTTTCCCTGGCATGCGGACTGGAACACGCTTCAGCCTCCTCCACCTGAGGATATGATGCCCTGGGTCATGGCGACCGTGTCCTCGCCTGTTTCTACCAGTTCGTTGGTCTCTCAGGTCGCCTCGTCGGCCTCGCCGCTCGCAGCTCAGGCCTTGCAGGAGCTACTCGAGGACTTTTCCGATGTTCTGGTGGACGAACTACCAATCCAGTCACCTGTCTCGCGGGGGCAGTATGACGTTGTCCTTCGGGTTCCTGATGACGTTCGTCCAATTCGTCGTCGTCCCTACCGACTTCCTGCGACGCTCCAGGAGGAGCTCGCTAAAACGATCGACTTCTTGTTGGCACGCGGCATCATCGAGCGGAACAATGATGTCATGTGGCAGAGTCCCGTCATCTTTGTTCGCAAAGGTCTTTCCTCTGAAGGAGTCCCTCAATTTCGTTTTTGTATTGATTATCGAGGAGTCAACAATCACCTCCTCGACGACAGTTTTCCGCCTCCCGTCCCTACCGAGCTCATGGAACGGATCGGGCGAGTGCTCTCGCAGCGTACTGAG